CACCGCAGCCGCCGGTCCCCACCATCGCCATGGCACCCGCACCATTAGCCCAGCAGGCAGCCCTGCTCTTCATCTTGACGGCCGTACTGCCGTACCTGGTGGTACGAGCATGGGAGCGAGCCTACCTGCGGCCGGCGTACGACAGATACCTGCGGCTGCTTGGCTCCCATGCAGCAGCACCCAGCCCTGAAGCAGCACCCAGCCTTGTGCCGCGCAGCCATACAGCAGCACCCAGCCCTGAAGCAGCAGCACCCGGTAGCTGCTGCTGCTGCAGCGGCGGCTGTGGGTCCGCTGGGTGTGGCAGTCCTAGGAGCAGCGGAGCGGCGGCTGTGGGTTCGCTGCTGCAGGGGTTAGGACGGCGGCAGCAGCAGCGGGTCGGACAACTGCTGCCGCTGCCGATGCTGCTGAGGTCACGCGGGTCGCCAACTACCGCTGGCGACTCGTTCCAAGCAGCGTCTGCGCGGGGAGCAGCTGCACCACCATCCCTACCAGCAACAACACCAGCAGCAGCAGCACCACCACCAGCAACATCACCAGCAGCAGCAGCACCACCACCACCACCACCAGCAGCAGCAGCAGCAGCAATAGCACCAGCAGCACCACCATCACCACCACCACCAGCAGCAGCAGCAGCAATAGCACCAGCAGCAGCACCACCACCACCACCACCACCAGCAGCAGCAGCAGCAATAGCACCAGCAGCACCACCATCACCACCACCAGCAGCAGCAGCAGCAGCAGCAATAGCACCAGCAGCAGCACCACCACCACCACCACCTCCACCACCACCAGCTGTAGCGGGTCCCACATCCCAACACGACCCCAGCGCTCCGGCGGCTGGCTTGCCTAACGCCGCTGCCGCTGCCCGTCCCTCAGCCCACACGGACAGCCCAGCTGGTGCTTCCGTTCTGTACCGCTCGTCCAGGCAGCATGCAACCATCGGTCTCAAGATCCCTCATCCCGGACTCAGCTTCGAAGAAGCACGGGCGCTGGTGCTGAACGCTGCGAACAGAGCTGTAGCCGCTTACAATGCATCCGCCACCGCCGCTGCTGCCGCCACCGCCACCGCCGCTGCTACTGCTGCTGCCGGTCCTACTACTGGTGTTTCAGTTATGGCCCGGGGGGGCGGTGGCAGAGGCGAAGACGTGCTGCCCGGCAGTCTTCGGCCGGTCCGGCTGCTGTCGTCAGCGTGCGTGGAGGGGTGCGTGCAGCTGCTCTTGAGGGTGGGTTTTGGAGCCGCGGCCGCGGGTAACGATGGCGGTAGCAACAGCGGTGGTGGCGGTGGTGATGACGGTGGTGTAGGCTTCAGGCACCTGACTACCACCATCGGTAGCTTTGGGTCGGTAAGGGCCGCTGACGGCCGGCTGGATGTATCCGCGGCAGTTGAGGCAGCACTGCAGGGGCTCCTGAAGGACGCTATTGCTGGCGCCGAGGGAGGAGGTGGCTGTGGCAGCAGCAGCAGCAGTGCCGCTGCTGCTTTCCTTTGGCCGCCCGTGTTGCCCCTGCTGCCGCTGGGAGCATCGCAGGGGGAGGAGGAGGAGGAGGTTGGCGGTGGGGGCAGCAGCCGTGCGCTGGCAGTAGCAGGCAGTCAGGGACCCGTCAGGGACACGGGCAAGGAGGATAACGAGGAGAAAGGGGATAAGGAGGAGGAGGAGGAGGACGAGGAGGCGAGAACGCATGCCGTGCTGGTGCTTGTCCCCTGCGGGCTGCTGCGCGGGCTTGCCTCCGTGCGCTGCGTGGTGGCTGGAGGCATGGAGGCGGCGGAAGGGGGAGCAGGAGCAGCAGCAGGAGGAGCGCCGCCGTCACAGCAGCAGCAGGATCAGGCAGTGGTGCATGTGGATGAGGTTGTGGAGGTTGCTGCTGCAGGGACTGTGAAGGAGGATGCGCACGTGGCGATCAGGTGGGGGTGTCGTACGCGTTGCACTCGCCTTACCTTACTTGTTAGAGGGCGGGTTACAATGCTGTTTAGTTTAATCGGTTGTATAGAACCGTATAGTGCGGTCGGACAGCAGGCGCGGCAACAAGGTGCAACTAGCGACCCATGGGTCATGTTCTCAACCCCATGCATACCGGTATCCGAGCGACACACACCTGCTGAGGACACACGAAAGCGGCCCCTTCCGACCGCGCTTAGTCACATCGTAGGCATTGTTGCAAAACTCGCTTCGGGCCGTATAGAAAGCTCCGTGAATATAACCTTCCTGCACATTTATATCCTACACCTGCAACTGGGGCGTTGCCGGCATTCCACCCACCAAGTAAGCAACTCATGTGGGTGTGCCATTGCCCACGCAGGCTGTCCCTCCCCCCCGCCGCCCTGCGCACCCCCGGAGCCCTGACGCTGCACCTGCTGCCGCCGCGCAACCCTCCTGCGCCGCCGCCGGACCCCCAGCAACCCCAGCAGCAGCAGCAGCCCCAGCAGCAGCAGCAGCAGCTGGGGCCTGCTGCTGACGCGTCAGCACCCTCATCAGCAACCTCATCAGCAACCTCATCAGCAGCCTCAGCTGCAGCGCCGCTGGCCACCCTGCCGCCGCTGCTGGTGCTGCCCGCCGCAGCAGCCCAGGAAGTACGGCACCTGTACGACAGTGTTCTGGGGGACAGCACTGTACGGCAGCTGCAGCAGCAGATGTTAACCATGCCGGGGGATGCCGCGGCCGTGTCGCATGCCTGGACTTCTGGCAACCTGGCTTCCTCTACCGCCGCAGCAGCTGCCGCAGCTATCCACGAGAGCGGCCTGAGCAGCCTGTCGTACGACATGAGTGAAGTGTTCGTACAGCTGCCGTACAACACAGCAGCAACTGAGGATTCCGCTCAGCCAGCAGCAGCCGACCCACGGGTCACTGCCATGCCCCTCCTGCGCTTCTTCATCTGGCGGCGCATGTCGGCTTGCCTGCTGGAGGTACTGAGGGCTCTCATGATGGACGGTCCCGGTGCGAGTGCGGGTGTGGGGTTGCGGGGTGCAGTTCAGGAGCTGCTCGCGTCTGCTGCTGTGGATGAGGGCGAGGAGGCTGCTGCCGGCGAGTGGTTGCGAGGGGTGGTACGGCAGCTGATGCCTGGCCAACCGGGGACGGTGGCGGCGGAGGCCAGCATGTATCCTGCCCCGGCTCCTGCTCCTGCCGCTGCTGCTGCTGCTGCTGCCACTAGTACACGCGGCAGCCCTCGTCCTGTTGCAGCCCCTGCTGCTCCCGGCCCCCGCCTCCGCCACCGCCGTGATGCCTCCCGCCTGCTGGCCTGGTGGCTCCGGGTGCTGCTGCTGGGCTTCTCCCCGCCCGCCCTGGAGCGATACTACCAGGCCTTCAAGGCGGCGCAGTGCGCTCGAGTGGACCAGATGGGCCTGCTGGTCACCGCCGGCATCCACCTCCTGTCCACGCTGCGGACATGCCAGGGAGTAGCCCGGGTGGTGGCTGCTACTGCTGCTGCTGCTGGCGCTGCTTCCTCAGGAGGCGGCAGCGGCGGTGTGTTGGGAACCACGACGACGACGGCAATGACGGCGACGATGAGGACGACCGGAGGAAGGGTGCAGCAGCAGCAAGCGCTTTTGGAGGTGGTATCGCAGCTGGTGGGAGCGGTACCCGCTGCCCTGGCAGTGGTGGTTGTCTTCTTCACCTCCCTGCATGCCAGGTGGGGGGTTTTGGGGGGGTCTGGACTACGCGGGTGTTAACAGCAGGCAGCGAGACGTTGAGTTGTTGGATGTGACACCTCCTAACACTACGTACGGCTCGTTCCTTGGGGCGCCCTTGGGGCTTGCTATTTTCCTACCTGATGCCTGTTAACCGTTAAACCGTTAAACCCGTTTACAACCCAGGAACCGTAACACGGTGGTGTTGTCATACATCTTCTCGGACGCGGTCGCCCTCGCGCTGGTGCTGCTGCTGCTGCCGGTGCCCGACGTGTGGATCGAGGCGGTCCGCCGCAGGAGCATTCACTGGGTCATTTACGGCCTGTGGAGGCCGGCAGTGCTGCAGGTGGGCATCGGTTGGTTGGCTGGCGGTTAGGGTTCGTTGGTTAGTAAGAGACGTACGCCACTGCTTGCTTTAACAACCGGGCATTGAGTATTGAGCCAGGGAAACATGCATACCGGTAGCGCAGGAGTCCGTTGCTTCCATGTTCCTCCTCATTACTTCCCTAAGCTGCTACCTCGCGACCCTAACTTGGCCCTTGGCCCTTGGGGCCCTTGGGCCCCTTGCTGTTGCTGGTTGGTTGCAGTTGTCACCCTACCTGCAGATGCGCGCCACGCTCGCCTACTTGCTGCCCACCCTGCTGCTGGCGTGGAGGGGCAGCAGCAACAGCGGGGACCACAGCAGCAGCGGGGACCACAGCAGCAGCAGCGGCTGGGCGCCCGCTCTGGTGTTTGCCGCCTGCAACGCGCTCTCCTGCACGCTGGTCTCAGTCGCCACCGACTGGCCGGCGCGCTGGCGATTTTTGCGGCAGCGGCGGCAGGCGTCCGGCAGCCCGATTGCCCCTGACAGCAGCAGCAGCGGCGGCGGCGGCGGCAAGGGTTGCGACTACCAAGGAGGCAGCAGTGAGGCTGGAGGTGAGGAAGGCCAAGAGAGGCGCAGCGGCGCTGATGAGGGAAAGAAGAAGTCCGCATAGACAGGGGCGGGGCGGGGCGGGGCAATCTCCTAAGGAGATAGGGCTGTGGTAGTCTTCGGTGTGTGTGAGGTAGTAAGGGATACGGCATGCCTGGTATTATTGGTACATGTCACTGTGTGGCTAATGTATAGGCGCACGGTAGCGTGTGTGGTGGCCACGTATGTACCGGGTTTGGTACGGTACGTGATGGCGGTGCATAATGACATAATGAGGCACCGCGAATGTCACATGCATGCACCGTTAGAAAGTCAATGCCGTTGTTGCTGTTGAGGTATTTGTTAAGGTAAGCCTTGTACAGTTTGGATTGCTACGCACTGGTACGGCGATTTCAGTATTCTCCATGGCTACTTAAGTACTTATGGCCTAGCCGGTGTTCGACAGGGTGTTAATTTGCATCTAATGAAGCGTTTGTTAGCGCCCCGAAGGGTGTCGTTACATGCGGAAGGTCACAGATAATAACAGACCAGCAGCCTCGTAATCCAGGATGATTATCAAATCCAGGATGGACAAAAGACACGGCTGGCTGGTGCTGTGACCCGTGGGTCATCACTCATCAGGCAGCAGTTCGTTGGGGCACTGCTGATTCCGTTGTACGGCACCATTGTGCGCAGCGTTCGATACTCTTGTAATAAGCAATAAAAACACTAGGGTGTAATATTATTGCACCCATTTAGGTCAGGCAACCATTTTGCAACAGAGTCGCAACCCAGCAGCCAGTCGTCCATCGCTACTGCTGCTACTTGAAACACATAATAACAGGTGCATTGGGGAATCAAGTTAGGTGTGCTTTGCTAGGCGCGATGCAAGAAATGCAATTAACAAACATGGGAGGGACGTCCTGTTCTGCGCCACTACTCGGATTGTGGCGCCCCAGCAGCTCAGCTCAGCTCAGCCCGCCCCTCAGCTCCTCCTCATCATCCCCCAGCCCCCCCCCCGTCAGCAGCTCCAGTTCCCCGCCTCCGACAGCAGCTTGGTGAGCAGTCCGCACTGCCGAGCACTCAGCATCTCACTCACCATCAGGCCCAGGAAACCAACCTGGGGGCGGGGGTGGGGGGTGGGGGGGGTCATACAGCAGCGGGGGAATGCAAAAGGGGGGCAGGGCAAACGGGGGAAGGGAAGGGGAGGACAGGGAAGGGCAGGTCAGCAGGCGGGAGGAGGGCAGGGGGTGACAGGGGTGAGGGAGGCAGGAGGTAAGGGCAGGGCAGGGCGGAGGGCAGCGGAACAACGGATTGAGGCGGTGGATGGAGGGGGCCGGCGATGAGGTCGTTGGGTGGAGACGTGGAGGGAACACCCCTGTGGCTAGGGCAGGCAGCTGCTGCGGGACATCCTCGCCCGCCCGCCTGCCTGCCTGCCCCGTAGCATGCATGCATGCCTTATTACAAACCACCCACAACCACCACCACAACCACCGCCACAACCACCGCCAACACCCATTGTTAAGACCCCAACGGACCCCAGTCTGGACCCCAGTGGCGTTAGATGTGCAAGCCGGTGCGTGGGCGCGATAGCCTTATGACACTGTAGGGTTCTCCCTCTTTCACCCACCATCGCCACCCGGCCGTTGAGGCGCTCCGCATTGTAGTTCCACACGTTGGGCAGGTCCCCAGGCAGCTGCGGAGGCGGGTTGTCATCGCTGGGAAACACGCTCTGAACCGGCACGCGACCCAGGATGGCGGGGGCCACCGAGGCAGCAAGCACCAGCGCTCCCACCAGCATCGCGTTGTAGGCGCCCTCACTGCTGAAGAGCTGTCGTACAACGATATCGCCGTGCATGACTTCACCGAACAAGCCCAGGAATATTCCCAGCATGGCTGCGCGACCGTTTAGGAGCTCTGCGGCCGGGCTGTCTGCGCGGAGCACGTCGCTAAGGGCTTCGAAGGAAAGGCCGATAACGGCGGTTGGAACGGGACTGGCCAGGTCAACGCGGACTCTGTTGTCGGGACCGAAGACGGCTGGGAAGCGCAGGCCTTTGGAGTAGTCGATGACGATTAGCTCGTCTGATGCGGGCTCGTAGGATATGGTTAGGTTGTAACCGTTGTCCGTCGACTTCTGTGGAATCGGTCGGTGGGTTGTTTTAGCAAATTTAGCAGATGTGAAGGTTACTAGGTGGGCGTAATGGAATGGACTAGCCACATACCGGTATACGCTCAGTCGTTGTTGCTTTCTCGCACAGCGTTCACTCATAAGTTGACGCACGCACCTGTAAGGGAATTCCTTGCAGCTCCTCCATGGTTGCGCGTGTTAGGTTGATCTTCTCCCAGGTCCTCGTGTCCACAAAGTCCAGCTGCTGCTGTGACGGATCGGGGTACTGCTGTGCAGGTGCTTGCGTTGGAGCGAACGAGGCTAAGCTTACGGTCGCCGCGCTGCTAGCAAACCGAGGCACCAGGATGCTGTGCGGTGCATGGGTGTGTCGCAGAGGCGATACGCCGTGCTTCAGTGGTTTTAGGCATGACCGCATGGATGGCAACATCCCTGCCGACCCTTGGATCGCAAGTTTCCTTCCCCGGGCTAGCGTTAATAAGATAGAACCACTGTATTCGGTATAGTTAACAGCTTTGGCAAAGATGCATTCGCGAACAGTGGACCCTACTACTACACGCTCGGACGTATGGTACGGCGAGAATACAGCTGTGAGCCAACATACGATCCTTAAACAATTACGTTTTGTATGTAGATAGGCTTGGCAACTTCTGTGCGCTTAGCATGTGGACAATAAAATTGTGACAATGCTTAAGTTTCAGAATACGGTAGTGAATAGCCAAAACTTTCAAAATTAAGCGCAACCTGCAGTTCTTGTAAGACTGGCACTCATAGTACTTATGATCTCTGCTTCATGTGCGAGCAATTAGTGTAATCTGTTGCGGTTCGCGCCAAAGCCTTGCGAGCGCCTCCGTGTTAATTGGTATTCCATCAATGCCTTTGTAACAGCGCTTGATTGGGCAGCGTCCTAATTCACAGTGAACTCGAGGCCTTAGGGATCGTATCTGACCATGTTCGGCGGAACCTCTGGCAACACCGGCGCGACCGGATTTGGCTTCGGTGGCGCTAGGACATTCGCTCAAGGTCCTGGGGCCGGCTTTGGAGGCGGCTTTGGCAACGCCCCCGCTGGTGGCTTCGGTGCCGGGGGCGCCGGTGGTGGCGGATTCGGGGGCCCGTCAGTGCTGTTCGGAGCTGCTTTGCCAGCAGCGGGCCATGTAAGCCGGGTTGCAGGAGTCTTACCTTGCTAACTTCTCTGAGGGTTTCTAAAAATGCATCCCCCGTTTGGTGCCTCAGCCACAGCCACTACCGGTGCCGCCCACTCCACCTGCTTCCCTGCAATGCGGTTCATGAACCCCTCCCATACCCTCCTACACGCACCTGCGACCCTACCGCCTGCTCCCTTGCCCCTCCGCCCCCTGCAGGCCCCTGCAGCTCCCGCGCAGGGCGGCGGGACAGACGGCGGCGCACGGCCCCCCCGCGGCGCTGCAGCGGGGGCCCCTGCAGGCAAGTCCGCTGCTGCTGCTCCTCACTTCCCCGTTGCATGTCTGTGTCCCAAACACGACTCTTGCGTTGCGCCGTTGTGTCAGCCCACAAGGGGTGTCAGCCTGGGGTGGCGCCGCGGGTCACCCCTCTGACTGCGGCGAAGCAGCTGTGTCACCCCTTTTATACCTCGCGAACCTCACGCCACGCATTTCACCCCATGCACCGCGCACCTCATCCCACCCCTCACCCGATTGGGGCTGGGCGGGTCGGGCCAGCTCACATGTTGCAAACCATAATGGCTCCTTATCACACGGTCATTCAGTTGTTTCCTCCTTACCCTCCCTGCAGGCGCCCAACCCCCGCAACAACAGCAGCCCCACCCCCGAGGCGGCGGCCTTGGAGGTGGAGGTGGAGGAGGAGGTGCGGGTCGCGGCGTGTTTAACCGCCTGGGCCTTGGCGTCCTCAGGGACACCTCCTCCACTGCAGCAGCAGCCCAGCAGCAGCAGCACCCGGGTGCTGGCGGCTTCGCGGGTGGCTTCGGAGGCGGCCGCGGTGGCGGTGGCAGAGGAGCGTTTGGAGGCGGCGGAGGCGGGGGAGGGCTGGCAGCAGGCGGTGGCGGAGGAGGATTAGACGGAGGAGGAGGTGGGCGAGGAGGAGGGCGAGGAGGCCGAGGGGCCGGTAGGAACCAGTGGGTACGGCAGCAGCAGCAGCAGCCGCGACAGCAGCAGCAGCGGAGGGGAGGTGGAGGAGGTGGCAGGGGCGAGGGCGGAGCAGCAGCAGCCGGGGAGGGAGGCATGGAGGAGGAGGGGGAGGATGCGGACATGCAGGCGGCTGGCCCCATGGAGGAAGATGGAGGGGCGGTGTATGGGGGAGATGAAGGGGCGGGGGGCGCACTTGCGGGCAATGCTGCGGGTTTCGCAGGTGCCGGCGCGGGTGGGGGCTTTGGTCGGGGGGCCGCGGTGCAGCTTCCTCCTTTCCGCGGGGGTATGGCAGCTGCGGGCGGAGGGCGTGGGGCCGGAGGAGGAGGAGGAGGAGGAGGAGGAGGTGGACGGGTGCCGGTGCCCGCGTTTGGGGGGGAGGCGGACGGTGCAGCAGCGGGGGGAGGTGGAGTGGGTGGTGAGGAGGCGGAGGAGGCGGCCAGGCTGCGGCGGAGGCAGAAGCGCTTTGGGCAGGTGGGAAAGGGGCGGGTGGGTGGGTAAAGAGGAAACTGACGGAAGCTGTATGACATGGGGGTGGGTGGTTGGGGCAGATGACGTGACGGCGGCGGGTATCGCCGTAACATGCGCAGCGGGAAGGGTGAGGATATCCAACCGCTGCTCCGGCTCCCTCGCTCAACTCCTTCATTGCCCCGCTTGCACCAACTCCCTCCCATGCACCAACTCCCTCCCATGCACCAACTCCCTCCCATGCACCAACTCCCTCCCATGCACCAACTCCCTCCCATGCACCAACTCTCTCCCATGCACCAACTCTCTCCCATGCACCAACTCTCTCCCATGCACCAACTCCCTCCCATGCACCAACTCCCTCCCATGCACCAACTCCCTCCCATGCACCAACTCCCTCCCATGCACCAACTCCCTCCCATGCACCAACTCCCTCCCATGCACCAACTCCCTCCCATGCACCAACTCCCTCCCATGCACCAACTCTCTCCCATGCACCAACTCCCTCCCATGCACCAACTCTCTCCAGGTGTCCGAGGGGGGCGGCGGTGCGGACAGGAGCCCCACCCCTCCCCCTGCCGCTGCCGCTGCCGCTGCTGCGGGTGGTGGTGGTGGTGCGGGCATGCGGGGCAGCAGCCGCTCGCCGGTGCGCTGGCGGCCCGAGGGCGAGGAGGGCGGAGGAGGGGGAGGGGGCGAGGAGGCGGGGGCGCTAGGGCGCTCGGTGTCGCCCTCGCCGCCGCCGTCGCCGCTGCCTGCTTACATGGGAGGCGGGGGCGGTGGGGGAGACATGATGGGGGATGACGAGGACGGTGAGAGGAGGCGGGAGGGGGAGTGTTGGAGGGGTAAATCGCCACGGGGCCTGTAACTGGGGGCGCGGGGGGGGGGGGCCAGGAGCGCGAACGGAAGCGTGGGGAGGGCAGGAGAAGGGTGGGACGCCTTGTACTCCCCAGCACTGCCCTGACGGCCCTTTGCGAGTAATAAACACGTCCCTGTACACAATGCCCCCCTCCTCACACATCCCCCCCCTAACCTGTGGTCTCCTATGATTTGGTATGGTCTTTGACTCCACCCCCCCCCCACCCCTCCTCCTAACACATCTCCCCCCCCCAGGCGGTGCTGCGGGTGGTCCCGCGCTGGTGGGCACGTGCGAGCTGATGTGCCCCGTGGCGGAGCGGAAGCGGCGGGAGGTGGGGGGGTGGGGGGGGGTGTAGGGGGGGGACTAGTATACCAGTCCACTTCTGGGAGGTGGTGGGGTGGGGTGTGGAGGCGAGGGAGTGCAGAGGGGGGGCGGAGGGAGGGGGGAGGGGGCTGCTGCTGCTGCTGCTGGTCGCCTCACGTCCGGAGGGGTCGCTACATGCGGGGCTGGCACCCCCCGGCAGTCTGAGGGGCGGCAGCAGGCATGCATCCGGGGTGCAGGGCGGCGCCAGGGGGTGTCCGCCCGCCGCCTCACATCCTACCCCTCTTCTCCTCTTTCCCCCCCCTCCCCCGCACACACACCACACGTTGGAATTTCTTTTTCCCCTCCCCCCCCCCCCCAGGCCACAGGCGAGCTGAACATCTTCGAGCGGCTGGACCCGGACAACGCCAAGCTGACCAGCGAGGCGCTCATTATAAAGAAGGCGGTGAGGGGGGGGGGGGAGAGGGGGGGAGGGGAAGGGGGGAAAATATATATAAATGCAACAACGGAGTCCCAATCCCGAATCCCGACTCATGCAGTGAGCGCATCGGAGACCCTATTCTAGAAACACGCAGCTCAGAGAGTTACCGACTGCCTGCTTACCAGAAACCGAGATGACTTGAGGAAGAAGCCGCCTTGCATAGGAAGGGGAGGGGGTGACTAACTGTGACGCCTAGGCGGCCCAGCTCACCGAACCCACCACTGAAGACATGGTCGAACAGGCGGGGAGGCGGGCACTGCCATGACAGATCAAAGGGGGTTACAGGCTACCGCGAATTGCACACTGCTTCTCAACGGGATAAGAAAACAGAGGTTGCACGTCTAACACCCTCTCCCGGCTCCCCTCCTCGGGAGTCGGGATATGGGATTGGGACTCGTTGTTTCACTTCTTTATTTTCCCCCCTCCCTCTGCTCCCCCTCCTCCCCCCCAACCCCTCCCCCCCAACCCCTCCCCCCCTTCAGCGCAAGAACTACAGCGAGGAGGACCGGCGCCCCGAGAGCCTGCGCACCTTCCGCGCGCTGCGCCTCACCATGTCTCGCCTGCGCTCCCTCATCTCCGCGCCCGACGAGACCGGCCTGGCTGCCGCCACGGGCCGCTCCCCCGAGCAGGCGCTGCTGGACGTGCAGGCGTTCCTGTGGGACCGGTACCGGGAGGTGCGCAAGGAGATCATCGCGCAGCACTTCCACATGCGGCCGGAGCTGCTGCCGGAGGTGGGGGGGGAAGTGGGGGAGGGAGGGGAGGGGGGGTCAAATTAGACCAAAAAAGGGCGGAGCTGCTGCCGGAGGTGGGTAGAAACAAGGAACCTGCCGGAGGGGGAGGGGAGACAGGGAGGGGAGGGGGAGGTAAGAGGAGGAAAGAAACAGAGCTGCTGCTTGAGGTAGGGGGGAAGGGAGGGAAAGAGAAGGGGGGGGAGGGAGCGAGGAGTGAGTTGTGGCCTGCTAGGTACAGACAAGCACTGGCAGCCGCACTGTCAGCTCCGGATGCGCTCCTGTTGTAGCATCACGCAGCACCTGGGGGACCCACCCGCCCGCCTTGTCACATGGCCAGTTGCCCCCCCTCCCTCCATCGGGATTCGGGATTGGGACTGTGTTGTTCATGTTATTTATAATTTTCCCCTCCCTTCACCCCGCCCCCTCCCTTCACCCCTTCCCCTCCTCTCCTCTCCTCTCCAGGTGCTGGCATGGAACGAGGAGATCGCGCGCTTCCTCATCATCTCCTCGCACGAGCTATGGGTGCGTGGGGGCGGGAGCTGGGGGCGGGGGGGAGCGTTGAAGGGTGGGGAGGGGGGTTCGGAGCCCTGAATGGGGGGTTCGGAGCCCGTAAACACCCTTCATCCCCTTCAGTTTTCTGAACACACAATCTGAACCCCCTCCTTCCTCCCCTCCCTCCCTTCCCCCCCCTGCAGGGCAACCCCTCCTTCGCCTCCCAGCTGAACCAGGAGCAGCTGAAGAAGGTGCTCACGGACCTAGTGACGCGCTTCTACACGGCGGCGGGGCGGCTGGGGGTGCCCACTCCCCACTCCGCGGAGATGAAGTGAGGGCGGGAAGGGAGGGGAGGGGGGGAGACCAAACCATAGGAAGCCACGAAGGAACGGGAAGATGACCGGGTGCCGCCAACAAGTTAAAGGGATGGAGGGCGGGAGTGGAGGGAGGAGGGCGGAGAAGAGCGCAGCAGGGAGAAGCGGGCTTGGCAGCTGGGAGCAGCCCACGGCATCTGCGCCTGCTTCTCCTGCGGCCCTGTGCCCTGCCCTCCCCCTCCCTTACACAGCTATTGCTCCCCCGCTGCCCCCACCTCACCTCACCCCCACCCAAAGGTGCTACCTGCTGATTCTGATGCTGGGTGGCACCATTGAGAAGAACGGCCGCCGCTTCCGGCAGCCCGCGGAGGCGCACATGTACCTGCGGCAGTACAGCAAGGAGGTGGGGGAGGGGAACTGAGAAGGCTTCAGCATGGGTTGCTACATTGGCGGGGGGAGGGAGGGAGGGAGAGGGGAGGAAGACCAGGTGCAGCGTGCTTGTCAAAGCCCATCCACGCATACCGGTTACCCTGACCCCCCCCGGCCCCCCCTGCAGGAGCTGTCCTCCCCCTGGACCCGCGTGTTGTTCGCCGTGATGGCCGCCCTGCAGTCCGGCAACCCGGTGGCGTTCTTCGAGCTGCTGGGCCGGGCGCCGTACACCCTCGCCTGCATCTGTGCCTCCCACGTGATGCCCATGAGGAGTGCCACCATGCACATGCTGGCGGCGGCGATGGGGGGTGAGCGGGAGGGGGATGGGGGGGAGGGAGGAGGAGGAAGGAAGGGAGGGGGAGGGGCGGACTGCATTCTGGATTGTAATCTTATCCATGACCTACCCATGTTTGTTTACTACATTTGTATACTGTTTACCTATCCTTTCAACACGCCGCGTTAACCCCGACATTTGTTAACTTTTGCGGCCCCTCCCCTCCCCTCCTGCGCAGCCCCCCACCCCGGTCAGCCCGGCGGCCGCCCCGACCCCTCCGCCGCCCTGCCGCTGCCGCACCTCGCCCGCCTGCTGCGCCTGTCGGAGGCCAACGCGGCCAGCTACGCGGAGACGGGGCGCGCGTTGCTGCAACCGGGGGAGGCGCCGGGTGGGTGGGGGGGAAGTGGGTGGGGGGGGGGGTAAAGGGGGATATGTATACCGCATTAGGCTGGATTATAGGATTGCGTAGTGGATGGATAGTGGGGGGGCGGGGGAGGGGGGAAAGAAGGGGGCGAATACCCGGTGCGAATACCCGAAACTAGCTCTTGTCGGCTACGGTGGCGGCCCATGGTGGAAGGCCTTTCTCCTGTCCTTGACGTGGGCGCTGGGATGGGAGCTGTGTGCGTGTACCTGTCTAGGCGGGCAGGCAGGCGGGCAGAGAGCGTATAGGAGTGTTGTGTGTTTGGCGGGGCGACGGCGGGAGGGGCTGGCATGATGGCACTGGGCTTGGTCGCGTGGTGGTGTGGGGTCGCCCCTGAGGCAGCTGTTAGCGGACTAGGGGTCCTCGCCTCACCTTACCTCTTGCCCCTCCTTACCTCGCCTTACCTTCCCTTGCCCCTCCTTACCTCCTCGCCTCGCCCCTCCCCCGCAGGCCAGCGCAACGTCTCCTTCCCCTCCACGCAGCTCGCATCCCGGGCGCTCAAAGCCAGGGTGAGTGCCACCTCCACGCCCCTGCCTGTCACCCAGCTTGCCATTAGCAGTCAATCAACACCCCGGGTATTGTTCTTTCTGCCCCTGCGTCACTTGCAGTGCTGACAGTCCCGTGCATACACCGCACAACCGCAACCCAACCATGTGCCCCCCCGCCCCTTCCTCCCCCACTTTCACTCCTCACCTTCTCTACCCAGTTAAACCCCACACCCAGTGAACTCCCCTCTCCCCCCTCCCTCTTGGGTATTCTTCTTCCCCCCGCCCCCCGCAGCCCCAGCACTGGATCACCTCGAAGCGCTCCCCCCGCGGCCGCAGCGCCGACACCACCACCCCGCCCCACCTGCCGCCCGAACTGCTGGACTACTGCAGGCTGGTGCTGGGAGGGGCAGGCGGGGGGGGAGGGGCAGGGGGGATTGGCGCTTTCGCACCCTCATCTGGACACATGATGGGGGCAGCCGGCGGTTTCATGGCAGCACCCGGGGCAACAACCACCACCACCGCAGCAGCAGCAGCCTCCACCCCGCCTCGGGCTGGTTCCATGATGATGCGGTCCCAGCATGCGGGTGGAGTGACCCCTGGGTCACCTCCGCCTTGGGAGTGCTCGCCTGAGGCTGCAGCAGGGGCAGCAGGAGGAGGGGCGGGGAGCGCCTCTCCACCTGCCCGACACGCCCGCCTCTCCTCCTTCCAAGCAGCAGCCGCTGCAACCGGTGCCGCTGCCAGCAGCAGTCCCCCCACCCGCCAGCCCGCCTTCGCCTTCGCAGTTCCCCCCGGCTCAGCTGCACCCCCGGCTGGTGGTGCGGGTGGTGCTGGTGGCCCATTTCCCATCCCCGCCCCCGCGCCTGCGTCCCTGGGAGGGGTCAGCTCCGCCTCCTTCACCGGCTCCCCGGTGGGGGCCCTCACCACCTCCGCACCGGGGGCAGCGGGGGGTGCTGCTGCTGCCACCGCGGGTGGTGGTGGGATGCCCCCGCCGGGTGGGGGTGGCGCTGCACCACCTGGCTTCCCGCTTCCTGGCGCGTCGTTCACCTTTCCTACGGGTACGCCAGCTGCAACAGCAGCTGCTGGTGGCGGTCAGATGCCGCTTGGCGGCTTTGGAGGAGGAGGAGCCGCAGCCGCCATGGGAGGGGCGTTCCCGCAGCAGCACCCCCACCCGCAGTCCGCCCCCCACCTGGTTGATGCGGGGCTGCTGGCGGAGGCTCAGCGGGCGGCGGAGGCGGAGCGGGCGGCGCGGGAGAGCCTGAGGCAGCAGGCGGACCGGGCGATACGACAGGAGCAGCAGCGACATGTGTAGGTCCCGGGGGGGGGGTAGGGGGGTTCCAAATAGACGGAACCATAAGAAACCACGAGGGAGGGGGCTGGGAGGGGTCTTACTCCCTTGCCATGACGTCTGCATGTTCCTTCAACCCCCCCGCACCTGCTAGCCCCCGCCCCCTGTATTCCTCACTCACTCCGGACCCCTCGCCCCCCCTCGCCCCCCGCCCAGTGCCATGGAGGTGCAGTGCCAGCAGCTGGCTGCCGCTGCCGCTGCGGCCCAAGCGGCGCTGCAAGAGAGCAGGCGGCGCGAGGCGGCGGTCGCGGAACAGCTGGCGGAGCTCAGGCTGGAGCAGCAGGTGGGGGGGGGGGACTGACGAGCTGTGTGACGAGAGGGGGTAGGTGGGAGTAAAAGTAGGTGGGGGAGAGGGGTTAGGATGGGGGTTACGATGGGCCCACGCAAGGCAACAAGTACAGGTTGGGGGGAGGTTCGGAGTGAAAGGCCTGCGCAATGCAGTGCAATGCCTGCCTTGCACCGTGTGTTAAGGCTGGGGACCGAATGGCCGCATACCGTACGCGTGAGATACCATGACGACGACGACGCCCTGTGATTGCACCTCGTACGGATCGTACCTCGCACCGTACGAATCCCACCTCATGTCCGTGTTGTACCCATGCAGGGCAAGGCGATCGAGGAGCGCTGGCGCGCCATCAGCCTCCGAGCCGCCGTGGGCAGCTGGCGGCGCGGGGCGAGGGAGCGGCGGCGGCGCGAGGAGGTGCTGCGGCAGCAGCTGTCTCGTGCCTCGGTGACCCTGGTGGGGGGGCGGCCGAGGAGCGCGTTGGAGCTGCTGGGGCGGGGAGCGGGAGGAGGAGGAGGAGGGGCAGGAGGAGGACTGCAGCAGGCGGTGAGTTGAGCGGTTCAGCGGTTGGGGCCTCGCTCTCTGACTTGAAGCGTTATTAAATAGTGTATGAAGTAATTACGTTAAACGTTAGTTAAGCACGCCGGCTTGACTTGGAAATGTCGCTTTTAAAGGCACCCGATCACTTTCCCGCCTTGCTACTGTGCCGGTTCTACCGCATTGATCCCTCCTGACTTCTCGCACCCCTCCTTCCCTTTCTGCGGTGCCCCCTCCCCCCTCCCCCACCTTTCACACCCCTAGGGCCGCAAGCGCCGCTTCGAGACGGGGGCGACACCCGCACGTGAGCTGGCGCCCACCGCACCGCTCCTGCATCGCCCTGCGTCGGGCTCGCCGGCCGACGGACCCACGGGTCACGAGGCGCCTCTGATCCCGCACATGGACCTCGCAGCTGCAGTGCTGCCCGGGCTGTGCCGGGCACTAGTCGGCAGTCGGCGGGGGGCAGCGAGTGCGGGGGCGACGACTCGGGAGGCGGGGAATGGCGTCAGTGGCGCCGTCAATGGAGGAGGAGAGTTCGGTCGCGGCGGTTCGTCTTCTTCTTCTTCTTCCCTTCCGCCGCCTCCCGATCGTCAGGTGTTTTGGAAGCTGCTGGTGATGAGCGGGGCACTGGAGGCGGATGCGCGCTGCGTGAGTGGATACCAGGTGCGGGGGCCGGGCAGGGGCGGGGGAGAGGAGGAAAGGAAGAGGAGGGAAAGAAGAGAGCGGAAAGAAGAGGAGGAAGGGAAGAGGAAAGCTGGGGGCTGGAGTGAAGGGAGGAAAGCAGGGAGGCAGCGGCGGTATCCGGTCATGTGCTGCTGTGAAGGTCCTTCATGCTCGTCCTCTTTCCTACACCTGTAAGGGCAACGAGTCGCTTTCTTCCCGTTTAGTTCCGATATCCTCCTTACCCACCCACCCACCCACCCTAAAACCGCTCTTCCCCCCATCCGCATAACCCCCCTGCTGCCCTCCTCCCTCCCTCCCTCCCCCCCGCAGCTGGAGGCCGCTTCCTGGCTGCGCGCGCGCCTCTCCTGCGGCCGCACCGCCGGCCCCCGCCCCCACCGCCAGCCGCCAGCCGGGGAGCAGCTCACGCTGGCCGCCTTCCGCGCCGCCGCCGGGGGGACAACATGGGGGGTCACGCTGTGCGTTCAAGACGTCAGCGCACAGCGCCTAGCGGAGACTGCTGCTGGTGCTGCCGCCGCCTCATCCTCTGCGTCAGCGATGGTGTCTGCTGCGGGCGGGTTGTTGGTGCTGGTGGATGGGCGGGAGCTGGAGGCGGCGTTGGCGGGGGGGGCACCGCTGGAGGTGGCGGCGGCGGAGGCGGGTCAGGACCTGGTGGAGAGGTGTGTTAAAATAACTGGCCGGGAGGCGGAACGTACTGTGATTGCCGGAAGATGAGGTTTGGGGGAGGGGGCGTTGCGGTGCTGCTGCGGCGGCTGTGATGAAGGTGTTGGGGGATTGGGACTGTGCAGGGGCGCTTGCAGGGGCGCAGTGACGCACTTGGGCGTGCCAGGCAGGCTTGGGAGCCTTGGCTCGCATGCTCCTTGGGTGTTCCTTGGGTGTCTTTGTCATGCAGCTGTGCATGAAGATTTCACCCGCATGCCCCGTTGCATGCCGCCCTCCGACGTCTCCTTCCTCTTCGCCCTCCTCCGCTTTCCTCCTCCCGCTAACCCCCCCCTCTCCTCTCCCTCCCTCTCCTCCCGCACCCTCACCCGCACAGCTGGGAGCGTCTCCGTACAGTGCTCTCCCACCTCCCCCCCGCCCTACAACCCACCACCTCCTCCTCCGCCCCACCTCCACCTCCTCCTCTTCCCATCCTGGTTCTCTCGCTGGCCGGCTCCGAGGCTGCGGAGGCCATCAGCTCCCACCTGGCGGCCACAGCGGCAGCCGGCTGGCCGGAGGGGCTGGCGGCACGGGTGCTGGCGGGGGGAGGGGGAGCAGGAGGAGGAGTGTGTGTTGCCTCGCTGGCTGAGGCGCCGGATGAGGTGCTGCAGCGGGCGCTGGGGTACCTGGCGGAGCAGGCGCCGGTGATGGAGCAGGTGGGGGGCTGGGTGGGGGGGCTGGGTTGGACGCCTCTGCCGCTGGGTGGAATTACCCTTGTCGGTCCTGAATTACATTCTCCTTTGCCTGCCGGGTCGTGTCATCATATACGTCATGTCATCTGTCGTGTCGCGTCATATATGTCGTGCGCCGCATCATGTCGTACACAGGTGGTTGCAGTGGATCTGGAGCAGCTGGCTCGCGGGGCGGTGGCGGAGGTGGTTTCGGAGCTGGACGCCCGCGGTTCCGGCCCCCCCGCCAACACCGCCGCCGCCACCCTGGCCGCCTTCAACCAGCTGGTGGGGGCGTTCGAGGCGGCACTGCGCGCCACCGCCGCCTCGCCCTCGGCGCGCTGGGGCCTGCCGGCTCCCGAGGTGGGCGGGAGATGGGGGGGCGGAGATGTGTGTGGGGGGACACAGACCATACGTCTGTGCATACCCTAGGAGAAACCACATGGGAGGGAGGGAGGGGACAACAGGGTATCATAGGGTACACTCCCGCTACCGGGGTTTAGTTGGATGGGTACGTGTGCCTCACCCTCCGCAGCCCTCAGCACCCTCACCTCATGCCTCCCTCCTCCTCTTTCCTCCTCCAGTTGCTGCACTTCTAAATTATCTTTTTCCTCCCTCCCTCCCCTCCCTCCCCCCCCACCACACTTTGGAATTTCTTTTTTCCCTCCCCCCCCAGCTCTCCCCCTCCGACGCGGACGCCGCCCCCGCCTGCTGGTCCCCCGCCCGACTGGAGGCCGCAGCAGCCGCCCTAGCAGCCCTGCAGATCAACCCCCCCGCACCCGCCACCTCCCCATCATCACCCTCTGCCGCACCCGCCACCTCCGCGCAGCACCTGCTGCCCGGCGGCTCCGCGCTGCTGCCCCAGCTGCTGGGCCACGTGGCCACATGGGCGGCGGCGCTGGGGGGCAGCGCCAGACATGCCTGGCTGCTGGCGTCGCTGGCGCCGCATGGAGCGGCAGCAGCGGGAGCGGGAGGGGCAGCGGGAGGGGCCGGCGCCGCGCACCGCAGGAGGGCTGCTGCGGCTGCGGCTGCTGCTGCATCACCTTCATCACCACCACCTCAGCTGCTGCTGCCGGCTTCTCAGACGGCAGCGGAAAAGGTCCCCGCCGCTGCTGCCGCGACGCCGGCAGCCGCTCCCCAGCATCGCCCCAGCTGGGCGGCTGTAGCTGCGGCAGCGCCGGCAGTAGCTTGGAACGGCAGCTCGAATGGCTTCTCCCTGGCGCCGCCTCCGCCGCCGTCAATCATTCGTACGCCGGCGGCCGCCGCCACCCCCGCCGCCGCGACGCCGCTTACCTCCGCCAGCCCGCACCGCTATTCCATGCTGCTGGCGGATGCGATGGACACACCCGACCCAACTGCTGCCGCTGCTGGTGCTGCCGGTGGTGGCTACGGCTACTATGCTGATGCACTCCTGACGGGCGGCGTCAAGGGCGCCGCGGATGGTTGCGCTGGGGTTTACACGGGGTTGGCGAATGGCGGCGGCAGTGTGGGTGGGGAGGCGAGTGGGCAGCAGGAGGCAGCGGCGAGCCAGTCGAAGAGGCATGCGCTGGAGGCACTGCAGGTAGGGGTTTACTACAGGTCTGGTGGTGGGTGGGGTGGTGGGTGGGAAGGAATCTAGTGGAGTGGTGGGGCGGCTAGGCGGTGTTGGGTTGGGTTGGCAAAGCGGCCGGTCGGGACATGGGCGCGTCACTGTTGGGTGGGTGTCTCGACTGGCGTACGTTGCGTTCATGGGAAGTGCCCTTGCGGCAGGGTTCTGTGTTGGCTGCTAATGGGCCATCATGTGCAGGGCCCCTTCGGCTTAAATGATATCCCCATCATGTCGTTGGTACATGTCGTATCCCTGGTTTCCTTCCTTGGCCCCCCGCCACCTCATCTGCAGAAACTGCGAGCTGCACTTCGAGAGCACTGACCGGCTGGCGGAGCTGCTGAGGCCTGACGATTGTTCTATAGCTGTTGCGACTGGGGATTGCTGCTGGGGGGTTTGGGTGGGTATTCTAGTTTTACGCGAAATAGGGACGACGGAGGTGGATGGGAGTTAAGTGCGTGGCCCGTGCGACCTGTGCTTCCTCATACACTTGTGGTGTGGGTGCATATGGGTTGCGAGTGCGGCGTGGAACCTGTGATGGAAGTGTTCAGGTTGCCCCGTAGCCATGTTGCGTTGATGCCGTGGCGGACTTGCACAGTGACAATGCACGGTGGATTACGGAATCTGTACGGAAGCCGGATTCGGGAGACATCCCTTAAACTGTACGTAATTATTAGCCCACTTAGGTAACGTCCTTGTGTGCAAATGAAGGCTTGTTAAGCTCACACGCCGCATCCACACTTGCATACCTCACGGCCCTCAAATAGTATAAACACAACTACAGTATACTATCTCTAGTCGCTAAGTGATAAATCATTTGTAAGCACCGCTGCTTAAACTAGAGAAATGATCATCTGTCTAGGACCCGTGTGTGTGCCTCTTCACTTGTTGCTCCCTTTCCTAGTCGGAATGCTGCATCAATACGGCTACCTCAAGTGGTTTAAAACAGAATGGGTAACACTGCGGTACTGGAGGAACAAATGGAGCGGGTAGGTCCGCTGAACCGAGTTTGTGCTCGCTTGGTTTCAACTGACATGGCCGAACGGCGAGCATGCAGGAAGAAACCAGGCGATGCTACACCGCAAGCGGAAATGGCAACGACAGCAAGCGTCTCAGGGAGACCATCGGCAGCGCAGGGTATTCAGGTACAGAAATGGTGTTGCATGCGCCATGGTCTGACTTGTTTGCGTGCGTCCACCAGCTTTGTAGTGGAGGTCAGTTTGCATGTTTAAGGTCCGTTACACGGTTTTCATTGTACTTTACACGCTTCCGCACAGGTTACGGGAGCGTCCCCAACATTACCGAACAACACGGGGCCAGCGCAGGACAGCAAGAAGGTCGAATGAGCTTCGCTGGGGCCATGACATACGGAGATGTAAATAAATTGCTACCAAGCCCCGTGCAGTCCTCCATTCCTTCCCGACTGTATGCAAAATCCAAAAGCCCAGAAGCCCCACGCTCTTACTCTCATGCTAACGGCCGCGGTGCTTATGAAAATTGCCCGCAGTTTGCACCGCAGGGCGCACCGCGACACCTACTCTCATACGCGCACAACCCCTACCTGCCTCTGTGACAGAAAACCCGAGTCCTCGAATCCTGTCGACCACATCACGCACCACCCCAGCCCCAGCCGCAGCCAGATTGCTCTCAGGCGGGAAAAGCCAGCACCCGTGGTATCACCATACCTCCGGGACCCAATCACATGACATTGTACTACCGTACTATTCTTCCCGTACCGAGCATCCTTCCGAACTCCGCCAAAGCCAAAACTGAAGGGCGCGCCCAAAGCCCAACGGGCGTTCGCGAGAGATGTCCGACAAGACAGCACTAGCGGGTACATCACACCAGCAAGCGGTCGGGCAGAACCGACAGGAAAGAATACACCAGCACAGCAGCAGTCCGGTGGCTGGGAGCTCCCACAGCTCCACCGGTCGGTCCCCAGCATCCGCCCCCTACCGGCAGTAACGCCTGTTCGCCTCCACCGGTCAGCCACACACGCCCAGTGCTAATGCCCAGCCACAGCCCCACATCCCCCCCTCGCCTACTCCACAGCCCGCTCGCTGCCGGCATGCTGCTCCCTTCCTCTGCCTCCGCCTCCCCTGCAGCTGCATGCTCCGCTCCTCTGCGTCCGCAGCCCTCACATCCCTCTCGCACACCCGCGCCCCCCCCTCCCTCGCACATCCTCCTCCTGCTCCTCCGCTTTACGCCTTCCAGGGCTGCGAGAACTCCGATCGGGTGGCCCGGAAGGCCGGGTCCTGCACCGCCTTCTCCAGCAACGCGTAGGAGGACTTGACGGCGGCGTGGGCGGCCGCAGCCAGCGCCCGCTGCTGCACCTGCAGGGGCGGCAGGCGCATGCAGGAGAACATGAGGACAGGTGGTCAGCTGCGGGGCGCTCACGAGTCATGTGCGATGAGTCGTGCATTACGCGTCTCAGTTGGCTTCCCATGCACAGTCGCCTGGTGGGTGCAGGCATGCGGCAGTGTCCATGGGCGGGTTTGTGTGGGGTTGCCGTGAGCGTGCCAGGGAGGAAGCCCGCTGATCCATCCCCTGTTTGTCGGTCAGGGCAGCCATGCTCTACACGCACGCAGCGCTAAGGCCTGCCACACGCCAACGTGTTCACCAGCGCCCGGAGTGATGTGTGGCACTCCTCTGTACCCATCCCTACGCGCACCCTCCCCTTCCACCCCTCCTCCACCTCCGCACCCACCCACCCACCCCCGCACGCACCTCCTTGTCCTCCGAGCCGCTGTTGATGGCGGCGATGTCCAGCTCCTCACACAGCGAGATGCCCACACCGCTGAAGTTGGTCAGCCGGCGCTCGCCAATGGACTTATCCACCGTCTTGGGCGGCGGCATGATGGGGAAGGAGAACATGGCCATGGGGAACAGGTGGCCCGGCTGCTTGGCGCGCTGCACCAGGCTGCGCATGAGCTCCACGGCGGCGGGATCGAAGGTATCCGGAACCCACTCGTCGTTTGCGTTGGGGCGGTCGCGGCCGCCGCTAGGGGCGATCCAGATGAGCGTGCCGCCCTCGTTGAGTTTGCGCTGCATGGCCACGAGCGTTTTGCGGTTGGTCTCCATCTTGGAGGCCTTGAGCTCCGGCACATCGTCGATGTGCTTCTTGGAGTGCACGCAAAAGAGGTTGCGGCCCATGGAGAAGGGCTTGCACATGGGGTCGGTGACGACGCGGTCACCAGCCACGTAAATGACATCTGTCGCGAGCTTGGGATGCGTCGTGGACAGCATATGCGCGAAGACGCCGGGGTCTGCCTCCGTCTGGTGGTTTGCTAGGAGAACCACGTTGTGCTTCTGGTCCAGCAGCTCCTGCACACGATCCCAACGCTCGCGGTGACCCAGCAATGAGTTGTTGAAGTCGACGAGCGTCGCCACATAGCGCTGGCCGAACTCGTAGTAGTTGTAAGGCTCGGTAATGCGCGTGTGGAAGGAGGGGAAGGTGTATGGCTGAACCGCCTGGAGTAGCACATTATCCAGAATGGTGGTCTGCACCTGGGCAACCAGCTTTTCGTCGACGCCGCTCACGCCGCTGTTCAATACTGCCTTTTTGTAATTGTCAAAAAAATATTCCCAGGCGGGTTCCAGCTGTGCCGGCATTTTGCCTGAGGCGACAAGACCCTTGATTACCATCTTGAACTGCTGTTCCGCCACGATTCCAGCTAACTTTTCCTGGTGGAACTGCGCAGCTGACCTAACTGTCGGGGTGGTAACAGTAGGAGCGGCGGTCCTCGTGACAACGCACCGCCCAGTCGCGAGGGGTCGACGGCCATGGACGGCCACTCGCGGCTGAGAGGCCAGCATTTTTGAACAGCGCAGAGAGTACAAGTCGGAAGCACTAACACAAGTATTGCAGATCGGCTCTTCGATTTGGTACATTATTTTGTCGTACACTTAGTCCCGCATCCTCGTCCCGGCACCTGGCTAGTCCTCTTGCAAGTTTGCATTGCAACCATGGTAGTAATGTGTTCGTAATTACCCTGGCAATTCTTCAGGACTTCATGTCCTGTGTGTCTGCTTCCCCGTTTACCTAGTCATGTGACGACGATGGTAAGCGGTTACGCCACAGCCCAGAAGGCCCCTTCTACGTTACCCTCCGCTGCGTACCACGAATAAACCAAGCTGCGTGTTGTGCACTTCAGCTTTATTTCAAGACATTCCGCCTATGCACTTGGCTTTACACAACCACCTTCCGCCGTGGGGTTTCCCATGCCAGGACCAGAGTCAACAAGGGCCAAGACCCTGCACAGCTTACGGGGTCTGCCCTTACCACCCGTGCCCTGCTCGTTATTTGGCAGCAGAACTCCAACTTTTCCTTGCTGAAAGACTAAATGCACCTGAGACCCTGGGTCGAGTCGTGAGGGTCTATCCTCACTTACCCTGCTGCACAACTCGAACGTACAGACTTTTGCTGTCGGAGCTGCCGGCCTGACGGTGCCCTGTACGACATGCCGACCTGTTGTTGGCCTGGGACGCTGGGTTGAAACCCATGCAGCTTACCCAATCAGAACCCACAAACCCCAACTTCCCCGTTTGCCACTGAAGCCCCGTGCACTCCAGGTACGGGGGTTGCTCCACACTCCCGCAATCCGTTGCGTTGGAGCTAGGTCGCCATGTTGGTACATGGCTCCTCCCATGTCCAGCCACTGCCTGCGTACTGTGTGGGGATGAGCTAATCACTGTTCACACGGTTCCCACCTGCCATGCATGAGGGCTCGCGCAGCGGCGGCAAGCTCAGACCGCGAGCAGGCTGCACGGGCCTTATCGCCACTCTGATCGTCCCCCTGGCAAGGTCACATGTGATTACTTCATGCTCGCACAGGACATTCCCATGCAGCGCAACCCCTTAGTGACGCTCAACACAGCTTAAGGTTAGGGTCAGGGCGCATAGTGCAAAGGGTGTACACGACAGTCCAAATTTAAGTATCCTGCTCCGCTGCCTTGCACGCACGTCCAGCGCAGTTGTCCCAACAAGGGAACATGCGAGATGCCGTGAGGTTAAGTATGTTGAAGAGGGGCGAAAATATGTTGTCTTCCAAGCCAGAGGGCATAATTCCCAAGCTAGGGACTAGTATGCTCGCATCTGTCGCGACTGGGCCCACTTAATCCAGTGGAACCGAGCACGGCAGCGTGGGTAAAGGGCTGAACAAAAGTATTTTGAACATGAACTGTGAAACACGAACACGCTGTAAGTAACTTACCTGATCCAGAAAGGCGTAGAGGGCGACTTGCAACCGCCGTACCGCAGGGCCCAATGAGCAGTGAAATAAGTAATGAGAGCTCCAACTTGCCATTCCTCCTTTCGCTTGTTAGCCAGACGGTACAGTCGGTTAAATCGATCCCGCGAAAATGCGTGTGGTCTCCGCTTACCTGCTGGTGAGTTGCCTAGACCTTTAGTGCATTTCGACGACTTAGCTTGCAGCGACTGAGTCCAACCAACCCTAATGAGTGCAGGCAGTTCTGGGGGGCAAGGCCAGCCCCACCGCTGATGATGTTAACAAGATTCTGAGCTCCGGTAAGACGAGTGGCGGCTCCATGTGCGTTAGGTGGCGGCTAGTAGACTGTCTTTTCGGCGGAAGACTTACACCTTTTCTTTGTCCTTTTGTAGTCGGTGTTGAGGCTGACGCTGAGAAGGTCAACAAGCTCATCGCCGAGCTGGAGGGCAAGGACCTGCAGGAGGTAAGCTCACGCACATCACCCTTAGTAAAAAGTATACGCAGATAGGTAAATAACTATTTATATGTTTCAAACAAACAGGTCCTCGCCGCCGGCCGCTCCAAGCTGGCGTCCGTCCCCTCGGGCGGTGCCGTGGCCGCCGCTGCTCCCGCTGGCGGTGCCCCGGCTGCTGGCGGCGCTGCCCCTGCTCCTAAGAAGGAGGAGAAGAAGGAGCCCAGCGAGGAGGAGGTAAGAATATTTGACGCGCGCTGGTGTTCAGCATGCTCATCTGAATGTCATGGGCTTGAAGTTTGGGGCTTTGCATGCGCAATATCACACCCTATGCTATACTGCAGCGTTTAGAGACATACTAAGTCCTTAGCTGTAACTCTAGACCCCTTATTCACAAGTTATCCTCCCGGTTCACCCCCGTTCTCCCTCACCCACAGGACATGGGCTTCTCCCTGTTCGATTAAACGAACAGACCTGCCAGCCGGTTGCTGCCTCTCAGGAGTCGCCTTGTAACATCTGGCCTACCTCGTGTCGTTCCTATCAGCTCAGCGGATTCATAAACAAAGCCGGTTAGGCATGCCAGGGGATGCAGCAGCATGTGACATCATGCAGCCAAGTCGGCAGTCATCTGTCCACAGCGCACACCTGCAGTGAATGTGTCTCATGGTGGACATGGGTGCTGCCACAGGAGGCCTGGGATGGCATACATCATACTACCGTTTTGGCGACAACATGCTGAGCATAGGGATGCTAAGTGTGGTGTGAGGTGTAGGTATGACCCTGCCTGTCATGGCATAGGCAAGGCAGCACAAAATAGGTTAATGCAGTACAATACTACAATAGCTAGCAGCACTTAGCTTCCTCAACATAGCCGGTCAGTTTTGTCAGGATTGACATCCATACAGCTCTGCAAGTAGTACCACCGGATGGTCCCTTGGGTCACAAGCCATGCTGGTAGCTGGATACCTGTGATTCCCAGGCTCATCCATCGGCCAGAAACCACTCAGCTATCACTTACATGCATCGAAGTAAAACCTTAGGCATGCCCCAAATGATAACTTGTACCCATCAACATGAATGCTGGCATCCTTTTGGTCCTCCTGTACGTGCAGCCCTTGTCTTCCGCACCCGGAGGGACATCAGCCCTCAAGGGCCTCTCCTGTAGTCGAGGCACGATGGTTGTCCGAACCCCCAATCCAACAGCGGTAACTTTTTATCATACGCAATGCGATACCTTTTATTAACGGCTGTACCGTGAGCGCGGCTGAATGAAGGTACCCCACAACCAGAACAGCAAGGCCGCCAGCACTGGCAGCCGCACCCGCTTCCACAGGGAGTCGCTCTCAGCAGCAGCCGGGGCATCATCAGCGGCGGCGGCATCATCTGGTGATGCGGTAGCGGGCAGAGCACTCGCCTGCTGCTGGGGCACGGCCTTCTGGACAGCGCCCCTGGCCACAGCCTTCTCAACATCCCCAACCTGCAGGGTCAGCAGGAAAACGCTGCGCATGATTACCTCACATAACCACAATTTGACGCGCACTAGCGGATGGCTCGGCAGTGCTCCTACCCTGCGCAGCACCACCACTCCACCTGCCAACCCCCGCGCAGCGCGCCATCAGCCTACCTTCTCCCCTCACTCGCATGTTCACCTCCTCTCGCTCATCTCCCGCACCTTCTGGCTCACGAGCAGCTTGGTCTTCTCCGCGCCCTGCAGCGCCGCCTCCTCCACCTCCACCACCTCCGAAACCGCATGCCCCACCGCCCGCGACACCGCACTGCCGTACGCCCGTTGCAGCTCGGCCACCGCCGACACCAGGTCCGAGTAGGCCCGCTCCACGGACACCTGCTGCTGCTGCTGCGGGTCGCTGCCGCCGCCGCCGCTACCTCCATGCAGCTCCCGTACGGCCGCCTGCATGCACGCAGTTACCGTATGCAGTAGCAACAGTAAGGCGAATTGGTCGCGGTAAGGGATCTGGTGGATACGCATGGGGCGCGGGGCATGCAGGTGACCCATGGGACGCAAACACATGACACACGAAGCAGTCTGACGCAGCAGCATGGTCGGAAGGCTGTGCCATCTTCTCCTCATCTGAGCCAAGCTGCTGCCTTGCCTGGCTGGGTGGTTGTTTCAAGCGCGCAGCTGACACAGCTGGTGACCCAGCCCACCTGGAATTCCGGCAGCGGCTCCTGGGCGCTGTCCTGCAGCGTGCGGCTCACGGACTGCTGCGCCTCAGCCACGGCAGCTGCGGGGCGGGGCGGGGGGGGGAGCAGGAAAGAAAACCATACCAGAATCACAGGTTAGGGCAAAGCAATGGGGATAGAGGAAAGCAAGGGAAAAGAAGAAGCAGAAATCATGCGGGGCGGGGCAGGGGCAGAGGAACGGAGTTTACCGGCAGCACCAAACTGGACGACACCAGAGTCGCTGACATGAGCCCTCCAAGCATTCTTTGCATGGCAGGTGTGCCTCCCCAACCCCGGGTGTAACCCGCACACCCCCGGAACACCGCTCACCCTCCATCCGCTGCACCTCGGCTGCGGTGGTGGGTCCCGACTCTGCAGGGGGCAGTAAGTCAGCAAGGGGCGGACCAAGGAAGGGGTGGCCGAGAGTTAGCACTGCCGGTAAGTGGGGCCGGATGCGTGGTTTTGGCGCCCTACCGCACCCCGCGCCTCCCTCGAACCCAACCCGCAACGCCCTGACTTGTGGATTCCTTTGGTTCGGACTATGGTTTGGACTACCGTAACTGTGAACCCCCCTCCCCGCCCCGCCCCCCCCCCCTCACCCAGCGCCTGCATGAGCTCCCTGCTGTCCTCCAGCAGCTCCACGGCCGCACCCAGCGACACCAGCGAGGAGCGGCCCGAGGACACCACTGCAAGCTGCGGAGGGAGGAGGGGAGGGGGGAAATATACCGGTAGATAAATGCACGTTGAACGGTAGAGAACTGAAGCACTGGAATCCCAATCCCATTGAGGGATGGAGGGAAGGAAAAAGAAATGAGTTGTGAAGAGAAATGCATGTGAAACGTCAGAGATAGGGTCGGGGCGGGCCGGGGCCGGGGTCGGCGGGGCGGTGCGTGGGGAAACAAAGGAAGGCAGGAAGGGAGATGAGAACACGGGGTGGGTGCAGGCTCCCCTAACTCCACCCCACCCCACCTCGCTCGTCTCGTCCGCCTCCCGCGCTTCACTCGCCGCCGCACTCGCCGCCGCCTCCGCCGCCTGTCTGGCCGCCTCCGCCACCGCCACCACCGCCTGCTGCCCCCGCGCCGCCAGCGCCCCCAGCACCGTCTGCCGCTGCTGCAGCTCTGCGGCCAGCTCGTCACGGGTCTCCAGCTGCGCAGCGGAGGAGGGGAGGGCAGGGAGGGGAACATCAGGCGCAAGATTGGTACCGGTAACACTGCGGGGGGTGAACAGAACAAGACCAAGGACGGTAGTAACGCCTTCAATCCCCATTACCACCTGCTGGCCCCCCCACCCCATCTCCGCCTCCCCCCCCCTCACCGACCCACCTCCGCCTCCATCCCCCGCCTGCGGTCCAGCTCCTGCAGCACGCGCTCCTCCCCTGCCAGGCGGTCCAGGAAGGCCTCGTTGTTGAGCAGTGCCGAGGTGAAGCGCTCGTTGCGCACCAGTGCGGCAACCAGGGTCTGGAGGCGGGGTGGGGTGGGAGGGAGGAGGAGGGAGGGAGGAGGGGGGAGGGAGGAGGCGGGGTGGGAGGAGGAGGGAGGGAGAAACGGGTGAGCTGTGTGACGTGGCAGGGGGCTTCACCAGCAGGGGGTGCTAGCTGGCTACATTGGGCCGGGGCCTAGCCCGCCAGGGAGGTGGTGGAGTTGGTGAGGCGGGGTAAGGAACAGAGGGGAAACCAGAGATAGTCGAGGGTTGGGGCGCTTGGGGTCATGCGAGGGGATTGGGAGCTTTGGGCTGGTGGGACAACCAAGGGGGGCAGCGGAGGGATCAGCAGGAGGCCGCCAAGCTCGTCGCGGTCGAGTCAGAGTCAGAGTCGGAGTCTGCTTGTCTCACACCCCAGCTGAATGACACCCACCACCACCACCACCACCACCACCTCCTTCAGACTACCCGGCCACCAGTGTCATCAGTGCCGACGATGGAACCTTTTCGTATATTATGTGTAAGCTTTGTTTAGAAGACTTACGTTGGCCTGTTTCACCAAAATACCAAATGTCTAACGCAGTCGGTTCCTAACGCACCTGGATGTCGGTTTCGGAGCTGATGACGGGCAGTGTGGGGATGTCCATGTGAACCACCGGACTCTCCACAGCAGCTGCAGCTAGCTCCGAGGGAGCAGCTGCTGGCTCCGAGGCGAGAGAGGCGGCGAGGGTGACGTCAGGGGCGAGGGCGAGGTCAGGAGCGGTCAGAATGGGCTCCTCCGCGGGCTGCTGGGTCTGGGAGGCGGATGGGGGCACCGCTGCGAGTTCTTGTGTGGGCGGGTCCGCGACCTGCGGGGGGAAGCGGCGCGGCAGGGCGTGTGGAATGGGCTGTGGATGGACGACTACCGGGTAACAACGAAACATCTAGCTATACGCATGAAAACGGAGGCATTCAAAAGGTATCCAATGGAAAGACGCCTTGCAAGCACGTCCGTGTTGTCTGTGCCGCAAGCGGTTGCTTTCCTGCTTCGACCGCAACGACTACAACGAAGCAGGTAGATTGCAACCACTGACCTGCAGAACAGAAAGCGCATCTGCGGGTTCCTCCGCCCAGGCTAGGTTGGAGACTGCTAAGTGAATAGCAACAGCTGCAGCAGCGGAGAGGCCAGCAGGGATGGCTCCGCTCGGCAACAGCTCGCGACGACGGTTGCAGGCCCGCGAAATCGTCCCCCTCCGAGTCGTTTCATTCTTAAGCAATGCGCCCGCGACGGTGCAGCGTTTTGGAGGAATAAGAAGGTTCACGACGCCCTTTTGAGCTCCCAAAACGCATGTAGCTTTGTACATTATGCCTCGCTGCGTAATTCCTGCTGGCTACAGACTGCCAAACGCGCCTTTTGAGGTCAAATGTCAACAGATATTAAGTAGTATGCTTTTGATCATGTTACCGTTGGTGGTTGGTCGGATGTTGGTGGCTGGAAATAAAACCTACAATACGACGACCCAGATTACGGTGTTCACCGGTCGGCCAACCGTTCTGACTTCAGTTTGTGGCATGGCCTATAACGCCCATACGGTTGTGCGACACACTTCATTCGTTCTGACTCCGCTGTATTAAATGCAACCGTTGTCCGCCCTGTACAGGAGCTAGCGTGCTTCAGTCGCCATCCTTTTTGCATGTCGCATTCGTGTGGGGGCTGTCGTGCGCGGCAGCACCAAAGAGCATGGCTACGACAGGCTACGGCTCCCATATGCGTACGGCAGTGCGCCAGCTTCTGCTGAGGAGATTAAACGAACGTATGCTTGGCACCGGAAGGTTAGTAGGAGTCAGCAGATAGACGGAGCTGTTGCTGCTGCTGCTGCACCAGTCTAGTGGTAGTGCCGTACATGCTGCACTTCGTCAGAAGCTTGTGCTGTTGCTGCTGCAAGGTTACGGGTGTTTGGGATTTAAATGGGATGGCAGCAGACGGTCCGCTGCACGTTCAGCATGGGAACGGAGCGCGCAGCTCCTGACGCAGCAGTGGCACTACTACAGCCCCCCGTGTGACACACGGTGGAGGGCATTCATGTGGCGTGCACTATTTCCTTCACCGGACCGTGATAGATGAATGTAGTGTACATTACAACGTTACATGTCCGCCACTCAACAGGCAGAGATTGTGGGAGATTGTCTGCACCTGCCGTACAATCCGCAACACGTCGTACAATAGAAATGACACAAAAAGGCAGATCGACATCTTCGTGGCCTCGAACCTAAATGCAGTCAGGACGGGTGTGCCTGCGGAAATATACAGTAAAGCTACCCTTGAAGGAACAACGCACGGGCGTACATACACGCAATCTGCTTAACCTTGCCAACCGTTAACTGCCGTGAAGGAAATTATACATAAGAGCTCTTTCTTGGCTGCATGCTACAGCTGTTGCCTCAAAAGGTGTTTTAAATCAGCACCAGAACCGCTATGTGCGTATGCCTTGTAACAAACAATCTGCAGTCGCGGGTTATTGACCCCCAACCCCGGCTTATCCGCTCAGGTTCCTGCTTCATGTCCTGCTTCTGCCTGCCTGCCTGTCTCCACGAGTAATCACCTGCTGCCTGTCATGACATCATGCCACGTACCTCACCACGACAACGCTACACTCACGATGATGTTGTAAACGAGATTTTGAAGAGGAATCAACGGAGAATAAAACACGAATGGAAGCCACGTCTCACGACTTACCGGTACTTAGCATTGGGCATCCCCATCTCACCAGGTTCACCATGCATTAGGCCAACTGGGATACCGTACAGCACGCGGCAGAGACCACGGGAAGGGGTGGCTCACTGAGGCAAGACTGCCGAGTTGTGTCACAACCAGCCCAACAAACGGCACAGCGAGAAAACCGGTTTTGTAGCCCTTATCACACTTTCACTAACCTGTCCTGCGCTGAAAAACAAGGTTCACTTGCTAGATAAACCGTTAACACTACAAATCACTAACCAACCACCAAACGCAAACACCAGAACGACACCAAGGCCGCATAAGCAGCCGACTAGCCGAAAGAGTCACAGCTTCACACACATGTGAAACTAACTCGTTAAAACTTCATGTCAACGGGCGGCAGCTGAACGATTGATACCTTCATGCTAATGGTCAGCTGCGCCGGCAGCAGCAACTGCTGCCCCTCCTCGGCAGCACACCCCACAGCGACAGCAGCGCTCTGGGGGGCGGAGGCAGCGCCGATGCTGCTGCTGCTGCTACTCCCGGGGCGCATGGAGCTGCTGCCGCTGCTGCCGCCAACTGGCAGGTGCACCCGCAGACTGGGCTGCCGTAGCTCGATGCCCTGCGGGGATGATTCGGATGATTCGGGCGGGCATTCCGTCAGCAAGTGTTTTAGTGTGACGTACGATTGGTGGTACGGAGAGAGGCCTCATCGCATGGTCGGGCTGAGGCCTCTCTGAGGGTCGTGCAGCATCGGGGTATGAAGGAATTCTTCATACCGCCCGCCCGCCCTATCACACGGTCAGTTACTTGTTTCTTCTGTACCCACCTGCCCGCCCCCACCTGCCCGCCCCCACCTGCAGGTTCAGCATGAGGCTGCTGAAGAAGCGCCGCAGCCCCTCCGACACCGCCAGGGCACCCGGATCCATCTCACCCGCCTCCACCCCGCCATCCCAGCTGCCGGCGGACGCGAAGCTTCCCGTGTCAGGCAAGCGTTGACATGCTGCCATCGCCGTTGACGACCCGCTGGCGGCGCTGCTGACCCGTGGGTCATCATCCGGCACGTGTCGAGCCGTCACGATCAGCTGATCTACGGAATTGTTGGGCGCAGCAGCGGCAGCAGCCGCGGTGGTCGCAGCCCGGCCGGCCACACCTCCTGCCGCTGCTGCTGCTGCCGCTGCTGGCGGCGGTGTGCTCATGGTTACCGCGTAGCGCCGGCCGTCTCCCGCCCACACGCCTTGGTAGCTCACCACACCGCGACCGGTGGCGGGCTCGAAGCGCACGCTGGCATGGTGGCGGTCGAAGTGGAAGGCCTTCCCCTGCGGGCGCGGCAGATTGCGAGCAGAGGGGACGGGGAATGGGAAGATGTTGGCGCCGGCAGCATGGGCGCATGGGCTCCAATACAGTGACAACGACTACAAAACACCATCCGGGCGCCATCCGGGCGTCACACAGCCCAACGGCCGCCGTACCTCTTGCCGCATGCGGGACAGATGTGGGCGACTGTTACAATTTACAACGCAGCATGTAATGATGTTTTAACGTATGACCCGTGGGTCGCTCCGCCTCCCGCCTCACCTGAATCGCCCTGCCGGCCGCCGCCACCATGATGGGGTGCACCATGAAGTTGGAGAGGTCGCGGCTGCTGAGCGTGAAGGACACGGAGCCCTGGGTGTACGGCGGGGAAAGGAAGAGTGCCATGCGTTGAGTGGCAGGTGCGCGGTGGGTGGGGGGTGGGAGGTGGCGGGTGGGTGGTAGTACGAAGGGAATAAAGGGCTGTGGCCCCATCACAATGATAGCAGCGATGGCCCATCTGTGCCAGTGGCGTGCCATCACCCAATGCGGGCCACCCACCCAGACCCGGTGCTCCATGCTCCGCGGCTTTCCATTGCCCCCCTGGTCCTCCCCTGCTCTCATTTGCCATGGTGGTGCCTTGTCACATGGTTGGTTTCTTCCTCTTTACGCAGCTTTACGTCCCCATATATGGCATCATCAGAGGCAACGACATCGTTGGTTACAACCGCCTACAACCGTTTACAACCCCCTCACCTGCGGAACGTTCCTCAGCGATACGCTCTGCTGCCACACCAGCTTCTGATAGTCCAGCAGCAGCTCCCCAACGTCCACCAACAACTGCTCGGCGGTTAGCTCCAATGGGGTGCGCCAATTGCGACCGCGGACAGTCATTCCGCCGAAGCGGCCCTCCATTAAACCCCAGGCCGTTGAACGCACGTCTACTTCGATGCCCCCGTGTTGCTTGAGACGCGAGGAAACTGCGACCCGGAAAACGCGCTCCAGCAATTCTGCCGTCTGCCCCGGGACAGAATGAGGGGTGCAGATGAAGAGAGCATATTAAATACCGTGATCATTTTAGTCATAAGAGGTCTGCTGGAGTATGAGGGGGGGGTTTGAGCTGTGGGTGCAGCGACCGGTAGTCAAATCGTCGCCGGGCGGTGACACCCAATAAGCATCGCAAATGCTTGTCGCTTTATGTATGTCATAGTGCTTACCATATCTTTTTGTCCCGGAATCGTGCGCGCCAGTGCCCGAGCTTGGACGCAATTTGTAGCGCCTCGCCCGTCATTTCTGCAACTCGCACTTCCGCGTAAGGAGGGTGAAATGATACTGGTAAGCCTGCTGTGGGCGCAGCTTGGCCGCTGGGTTGCTGAGCATTGTCGCGTTGCTTGCATTGTTTTGGGTCGAGAAGCGTTCAAAAGTCAAGACAGGTTTGAAGCAAGGTATCAGACGTCTGTAATGGACTGAAAGAGGCGGCTTTTGCAGTAAAAGCCTGGTAAGGTTGCGACCTCAAGCAAAGGGCGAGGTAGGGATGGTGATGCTGGTATGGCCCTTGCTTTCAGCCAACTAAGGCGATGTAACCTAATATTTGCATATGACAGTGTTATCTACTAGAATGGCTCTACCTTGTCTTTTATGGGTTGTATATTTTCGCAGATTATGGCCGAGCATCAAGATTACACGACAGAGACAGCACCGGTACCAGCCCAATAAGTTAATTAACCAGGTGCTGTTCCTCGACATATGTTGTACCAGCCGCGCGCGTTACCTCTGATCTAAAGTTGGACGATTAGTAACCGTCATCTGCCATCTCAGCATACGATCACTCTGCTGGTGTAAGCCCGACTGCAATCAAGTTCTAGCCTTACCGAAGGCACCAAGCCGTTACCTTACTTAAGCCCTTCGCAAGTCCTCCTAAACAGCATAAAAGCATGGAGCTTTCCACAGCCCCCAAACAACGCTTGGTTCAAAATCCGAAGTCCCTGCGAGAATCCTCAACCCCTGCGGTCATCTATCCTGTTTCCACACCCTCCTCATCACCACACGTAAACGCCACCAACAGCAAAATTGCAACATTGTGTCCGCAACTCCGCCTCAACAAGCGCGACACCTTCCCTTCCACCGCAACTTCTGCCCTCTTGCACAGCTCCCCTCAACTCACCCCAACACCACTCCCCAAGTCGCCCGTCGTCCCCATCCTCCAAATCTTACCAACCAACCCAATCACACCCAACCTCCTCCTGTCCCCATCCAACCGCCTACTTCGGCGACGTATGGTAATCCTCTAAGAGGCCCGAAAACACGTACAGACCCGTCCAGTAGATCGCAATCCAAAGCGACAACGGCATGGGCATGCCCGAGTACAGCACCGCGAGCACGCCCCACACCGTCAAGGCAGAGCCCACGTATTGCGGGTGGCGGATGGCGGTGAAGGGCCAGCCCTCCACCCACGGCACCTTCACACCCAAACGGCAGCCGTAGTACACGCCAGCAACACCCAGGGCGCGGTAGGTGCCGAAGTTGAGTGCCTGAGGGGTGCAGGAGGGGGGAGGGGCGTACGGCGGAAGGGGTGGCAGGGGTAAGAGGACTGACAACTACAGCATAGTCAGAAGCAAGTAAGGGTACGCTGGAGCAAGGCAAGTTGAATCTGTGTGGCTGGAGATCCGCCCCTCCGCGGCACTCCAGCTGCTGCACAGGTGGTGCAGCTCCGGAAGTGCTGCTGCACACAGGTGCGAGCCAGCCAGCACCCGCCAGCCAGCAGGTACCCCACCAGCAGGTTCCGCTGCAGGGGGCTATGTTCCTATGTACCCGTTGCAAGTAACCCCCATTGGCCTCCATATCTCTCCCTGGCTTCACACATCCGTCACCCCTCCCAACTGCTGCTGCTCCTTTCTTTCCTTCAGCGGTTCAGGTGTTGCAATACAACAGCCTGTAGCCCGCCCGGCTTCATCCGCCCGGCCCTCCCCCCCCCTTCTTGGCCGCACCTGTCCATATCCGATGAGTGCGGCAGCAGCCACCAGTTGCCAGGGGGCGATGGTGAGGCGCGGGCAGAGGCCGGAGGACATGGAGGACCACACCCAGAGGAACGAGAAGCTAAACTGCAAGACTGCGGAGGAGGAAAGGTAGGCAGGAGTGGCAGGGGAGGGGTGCGGGGCGCGTTAGGGAGGAGGTGAGTGAAGAGAAGGTGCTTGTTGGGCTGTAGGAAGTTGGGCGGGTGGAGATGGAAGGCTGCCATGCAGACTGCGTAGGCAGTAATATGATAATGATATAAACTGTGTATGACAGTTCATAACAGGGGCGTTGCAGTACATGCCATACATCGGGGATTCCAATGTTGTTAGCATTGTCAACAATCACGGCCAGGGACCGCGACGACCATAGCCTTGTGAACCGCTAAATCATATGGATGGGCATCATGTCCCTAATGTGCATGCCCGTTGGCCGTTTACCCATAAAATGGCGTTGGCAGCTGCCCGTCGCGATTGTCATCACGTACCCTTGCCAGCAGCACCAAACGACGCGAAGATAGGCAACGATCGCCGTCCAAATGTGCGAAGCCAAATAGTGGGCCTGACCCACACCAACGCGTAGAGGAGGTGAGGCAGCGCGAGCACCAAGAGGAGCAAGGGAGTCGATGAAAACACCGGCAAGGGCAGCCTATTGCATAGGTGCTCTTGCAACCACTCCATAGCTACTTCTGCTGCTGGGAGAGCCATGATGCGCAGTGCTGTGATAGCGCTTGCGCGACAAGGTCAAACGCCTAACGCGCCAATTGAATCAGGGCGGCGGCGCGACTCCTTCCTGTGGCGCGACCTTCTTATATAACTAAACCTTTGCGCAAAATGTCACTAAAGCGCGCCTCGTTTGCCTCAAGAGGCGGCGCACAAGATGACGCCAAGTACCGCCTAAGTCGTTGGCCGGGCGTGATCACGTGCAGTACACTGCAGCGCCCGCTCGTGAATAAGCACTGTAATGACATACATGGATTTTGCTAATATAATTGCGCCATTAGCGATCGCAGTCCAAATTTCGGAGCCAGCCCCAAACACCCGCTAACGTATTCCAAACAGATGAGCAAAAGTTCATATTGTTCGAGTGCATTTCCATAATGGCATAGTGTTTTGTTTCATTGATCCCAAAATTTTGCGGCAACCGTTCCAATGCTGCAGCGACTCGAGCAGCTCGCGCGGGAAGACCCTCGCGTGAATACCGCCTTGGATTCTCACGCGCCATTACATCTGGTGACAGCTGTGGAACGTGCCCTCTTGGCGAAACCGGCTATTTTCGCGGAGGCGGTGGATCAGCTGACATGTGTCGATGTCGAGGTGCGTGCCGTCAGAACATCCCCATAGCCTTAACCCCAGATCGTAACCTTCCGGCACCGGACAAATTCTAAAATTGCACTCTTTCCCTGTCTTGGCCAGCGGATCTAGTCCGCAAACCTCACAAACCTTTTCGTCTTCTGGGACCTGCTGGGTGCAGGGCTGCGTGCCGGATCAGGCCCTAGCGGACACCGCCAGGGCCCGAGGCAACACGCAGTTCCAGAAGGGCCAGTACGGCGCAGCTGTGGAGTCGTACACGGGTACGAGGGGTACTGTGTGGCCGCCACATGCTTGCGTAACATGTAGCCCAGCGACCCATGGGCCAGCCGCAGCTAGGTCACCCAGACACACTCCCGGCCTGCCTCCCAGTCTTGACTTGATCGTGCATCCACCGTCGTCATGCGCTTTCACCATGGGTTGCCAGTACTATCGTCAACAACACGGTATCCCGGTTCGGTCTTTACTTTTTCATTTGCCAGCCAACTCCGACCTGCCGTACATGCCTAAAGGACGGTTGGGCTGTCGTGCCGACACAGCAACCCCCTATGTACATAAGCTGGGTTAGCCGCGCTCCCCACACTTACCCCATCCTCCCCTCCTCTCCACATCCCCAACCCCATTGCCTTCGAAGCCTCTCCCAGCCCTCGTTCCTTCTGTCGCTGCCAACTTCGTACTCATCCTCCCCCGTGTTCTTCCCCCCCGGGTTTCCCCCGGGTTTTCCAGAGGCCGTACGCCACCAGTCGGCGCTCAGCTCGTCCGGTCGAGCCGCCCTCGCCCGCCTGCACAGCAACCGAGCGGCGGCGCTGCTCAAGCTGGCCGGCCAGGAACCGGCGCGGAGTCCGGGGCAGGGTCGGAAGGAGGGGCAGCAGGAGCAGGGGCGGGCGGCAGGGGAGGCTGCTGCTGCTGCTGCTGCTACTGCGGTGGTGGGGGCGGCAGGGGCGGCCCGGGCTGCGCTGCGAGAAGCTCGATGCGCGCTGCAAGCTGACCCCTCCTTCCTCAAGGTAGGCGGAGGGGGGGCGGGGGGCCTGGGGCTGGGGCTGCGGGTGTCGGGGAGGGAGGTCCCAAGGCTGTGACAAGGGCAGGAGGGAGCTTCGCACCGAGGGGAGGGGCTGCAGGGTGTCACATGCAGCTGCTGCCAAAACCGCCTCTCGCGTGTCGTGCCGCCCGATCGCACTTGGCATGCTGCCCTGGGAGGAGTTAGTGTGTGCTGCACGCGCTGCTGCTCCTGTTTCCGCGCATGTTACTGTCCTGGTACACATGTCCCACACACGCTCCATGCTGCTGCCTGCTGCCCCCTGTCTCCCCCCCTTTCATGATCCTCCTCCCGTTCCCTGCTGCCCCCTACCTGATCCTCCTCCCATTGCCTCCCCCCGCTGCCCCTCCCGCCATGCATCATGCACACACACAGGCCCACTACCGTGCCGCATGTGCGCTGCGGCGGCTGGGCGACCTGCGGGGGGCGGCGGAGGAGTGCCGGAGGGCGCTGAAGGGGGCAGCGGGGGCGGGGGCGGAGGAAAGGGGAGGAGCTGCACCCAATCAGCAGGATAATAGTGGCGGCGGCGGCAGAGGAGGTGGCGGCAGCGGAGGCGGCGGCGGCAGAGGAGGTGGCGGCAGACGCGGCTCTGTCGTACAACCTGAAGAGGCGGCGGCGCTTCTTTCGGAGCTGCAGCTGCAGATGCGGCGGGAGGGATTTGAGGAGGGGAAGGGGGAGGAAGGGAGGAGTGAAACACAGTCCGCACGCGAATTGAAGTGCGGAAAAGAAGCGGACAAGGAGGGCGGGCATCATCATCAGCAGCAGCAGGTAGAGGAGGGGGAGGAGGAGCCCTTCAGCGCCACTGACCCACGGGTCAGTGAGGCGCACTCGGCCGAGCTCGGTCGCCATCTGCTGGTACGAGCGGAGGGGCCGCCGCTGCCGCCGGCTGTCGACGTGTTGTACGACAAGCCGCTAGCGGCGGTGCTCTGCAAGCGCTGGCGGCGCCGTCAGGGCGGCGGCGGCGGCGGTGGCAGCGGCGGCGGTGGCGGTGGCGGCGGCGGGTCGCTGCGGTGCTGGAGGTGTACGGGTCCGCTGGACGTGACTGGCGGCTACCCCTGCCTGCACTGCCCGCTGGCGCTGTACTGCAGCCCCGGGTGCAGGTGAGGGGCAGGAGGGGGGGTTAATAGGAATGCATTAGGCTGGAGGCCGCTGGGGGGGAGAAAAGAAGAACACCCAATGTGTTGAATGAGAATGGCTGGGGGGTGAGAGGAGGGGGAGTGGGACAGCGAGCGCTGAGAGTGCTGGGTGCGGTCACCCCTCCCTGCCTGGTCCACATCCGCATTCACATCCACCACCTCCACCTCCACCGCCCACACATCTTCACTGCCATCTCCTCTAGGGTGCCGGAGAGCCTTCCGTACAGCGCAGAGATCGCTTCCCTCCCCCCCACCCAACCTCCTCCCCGCTCGCATGTGGACATCTTGGACGACATCTTCCTCCGGTATACTCTGCCGGTCGGTTGGTCAATATTTGCTCAGTTCACCCCCTCCCCGCTTCCCCGCTCCCCCGCCCTCCCCGCTCCCCCGCCCCCCCGCCCTCCCCGCTTCCCCGCTCCCCCCCGCAGGTCGCGCGACTGTTTCCACGTTCCCGGCGGCTGCGAGTGCGGCCTGGCCTGGCCGCAGGTGCTGCCGGAGGAGGCGCTGCTGGCGGGCCGGCTGGCACGCAGGGCGGCGGCGGAGGAGCAGATGCGGCAGGGGGGGCAGCAGGGGGTGCATGGGCGGCAGGGAGGGGTGGAGGAGGCGGTGCAGGGGCAGGGGCAGCAGCAGCAGGAAGTGGGCGCTACTTCTTGCTCCCCGCCACCCTCCGCCACCTCCCCCTCCTCCTGCCGGGATCAGCTGGAGGGGCTGTTGGCGCACATGGAGTGGTGCGTGAGGGGGGGAAAGAGGGAGAGGTCGGGAGGGGCAACCCAGGGGTGTACCGCCCTCGCTCGTCACGCCATGCACCTCGTCTCCGGCTCTCTCCACCCGTCTGTCCTAAACCCGCCCCGCCCCCGATAGCCCCTTTCCTCACGTACACCTCCCCCCCGCACCCCACCCCACCCCCCCGCCCCCGCCCCCAGCCTGCCTCCCTCCGAGCTGCTCCGCTGCGCGCTGCTGGCCGCCACCACCGCAGCGGCCTACCGGGCTGCCTGCCGGGAGGCGCTGCGACGCTGGCAGCAACGCAAACTGCAGCCCTGGCTGTGCGAGGAGGGAGGATACCAGGAGGAGGGGCACCCGCAGCAGGGGAGGCAAGCAGGGGAGGAGGGGGGCCCGCAGGGGCCGGCGGCGGCAGCTGAGGGTGGGGATGTCGGTACCTCGACGACGACGGCGTCACTGACCCATGGGTCACCGCATTGGCAGCAGCAGCAGCAGCGCTGGCGGTGGCTGTGCGGCGCGGTGCCAGTGGGCGGCGCCGTACGGCCGCCCGAGGTGGGCGCGGAGGAGATCTTCATGGCGCTGTGCCGTGTACGGATCAACGGTATTGCCGTACGGCAGGGAGCCACGTCATCGCCATACGACAGGCTGGCACTGGCGCTGTACCCCAGTGCTGCGCGGCTGAACCATAGCTGCGACCCCAACCTTGGGCTCAGGTGCGACCGACCGGCTGACCCATGGGTCAGGCTGGGTCGGGGGGTTCGGTCTGGCTTCAGGAGCGGTTGGGAATCCACCATGAGGAGGCCTCCTTAGGGGCGGGTAAAGCTGGAGGGGACGTGGTGTGTATTGGCTGATGCATGGGCTGCTACCGAACCTCTTGGACGCCTCCCCCCGCCCCGCCCCACCCTCCTCCCTCCTCCTCCTCCCTCCTCCCCCCTCCCTCCCAGGTTCCGCGGGCTGCAGGCAGTGGCTCGCAGCTGCCGCACCGTGCCCCCCGGTCAGCAGCTCACGCTGTGCTACGGGCCGCAGCGGGGCAAGGCCACACGGCGGCAGCGCAGGGCGGCACTGCGGGTGAGGGGGGAAGAGGGGGGCAGCGGGTGAGGGGGGGGGGAGGGAGGGCAGCGGGTGAAGGGGGGGAGAGGGAGGGCAGGGCAGGGCACGGGAGGAGGGGCGGGAGAGGTAGCCCTCCCCTTCCTCACTCCCCAAACAGCCCCAAGTGACTGCTAAGTGCCAACTCCCTCGATTGTTTTGTGGCACCCCGGCGCCACGTATCCCCATATTTCCTTGCCCTAACCCTGCTGTTTCATTCATTCATGGTTTGGTTTCACTCCCTGGCCCGCAGCGGCAGTACGGTTTCACGTGCGGCTGCGGGGCCTGCAGCGACACGCCGAGCTGCAGGCGGCTGGAGGCAGCGGTGTGGGGCCTCACCTGCCCAGCATGCGGCAGCAGCAGCAGCAGCAGCAGGGGCAGCAGCAGTAGCGCTGCTGGTGGCGACAGCAAGGGCGGTAGTAGCAGGGGCGGGAGGACGACGGCTGACGAGGAGGAGCGGGAGCAGCTGCTGCTGCCCGCCGCTCTGATCCCTGATGACCCACGGGTCGCTGCCCTGTGCGGCCTCACCGCAGACGATGATGATGAGGGAGGCGGCAGCAGTGGGAGTGGTGGCACGGGTACAGCCTCGGCATCCGAGTTCGCGGGCAGCGGTTGCAGCCGTTGTGGTCACCGGCTGAGTGTGCGTGAGACGGCGGAGGCGGAGGCGGTGCTAGCGGAGGCGGCGGAGCTCGAGGCGGCGGCGGAGGCGAGCGTACGGCAGTGCATGACGCCGCCGTCCGCTTCCCCCTCCGTCGCGGCATTGTTATCGGCTTGTCGGCTGCTGCTGCGGGTTTCGGAGCTGCGGCGGCGAGTGCTGCCGTACACGAGCCGCCTGCTGGGGGGCAGCTGGCACCGAGTGGGGGAGCTGGCGGCGGAGGCGGTGGAGGCGGCGGGTACTGAGCACAGCAGTGGCGGCGATAGAGGAGGCGGCAGCAGCAGCGGCTCGCCTGTAGCAGCAGCAGTGGCAGCACCGCAAAGAGCTACAGCAGCCACCACTGCCGAGCTGCGGCATGTGGTGGCGGAGGCGGTTGGCTGCGTGTCGTACAGCCTAGCGGGGCTGCAAGCGGTGTACGGCAGTTGCAGTACGGAGGTACTGTACGAACTGGAGCTGCTACTGCGGCTGCTGGGGTGGCTGGGGGGGACAGCAGCGCGGGGAGGAGGTGGTGGTACGCCGGAGGAGGGGGTGAGTTGCGGGGTGGCGGCGGACGGGAAGCCCCGGGGTGGCTGTCCGGGCTGCCCGGCGTGTGGTGTTGCTGGTGGGGAGGAGCACGAGACGGCGGTGCGAGCGGCGCTGGGGGAGCTGCTGGCGGGCTGCATGGGGGGGGCGGGTGCTGCTGCTGCTGGGGGGAAGGACGGCGGCGGCAGCGGCGGCGGCGGTAGTAATGGGGGTTGGAAGGGGGCGGAGGAGGGTGGTGGTGGTGGTGGTGACGGCAGCTGGGTGGGGGTGGCGCTGGGGGCTGCCAGGGGGCTGGCTGGCTGCCTGCGGTGGCATGTGCTCGGGGAGGAGGAGGTGGAGGGCGGGAAGTAGAAGTAGGAGAGGGTGGAGGAGAGGAGAGGGGAGTGGCTGGTGGCTTTTGAAGAGGATCAGGCAGGCGGGGCGGGGCGGGGGGTTTATCAAGGAGGTGAGAGGGTGTCGGGTAGACTTCGGGCCGCGATTGAGCGAGGCACGATATGCTGGGGAACGTTGTACGACATTGACGTGTTGCCACGTGCCGTACATTGACTGGCACACCTCCTGGAGGTTGACGCTGTTGTGCGTGCGATCAGAGCTCTCGGTTGCGCAAACGGAGCTAGCGCAGTTGCTGGTTTCGGGCGTCTTTCGAAGAACAAACACTCGTGCGGTAGATTGAGAAATGGTTTCGGAGCCACAATAACCCATCGTCTGACCGTCGGAGTGGACATTCATGTGTGTCATTCATGTTTTTGTGCGAGAGGGTTTGAGGGAGCTGAAAAACAGCGCCCTGATGTTCATTGTGCCCTCCCGATGTATGGGACCCGCTGGAGGGTCCCGGCAGAGGCGCCGAACTGTGCCGTACTCGCAAGGCTGTGCAAACGTTGCATCTCTCTTGCATCTCCCCCATCTAGCTACATACCCGTACAAGCTGTGCTTTGCCATTCCTCCTCCACCTCCTCCACCTCCTCCTCCTCCGCCGCCGCCGCCTCCTCTTTCCCCCTCAAGCTAAGTAGCAACCACTTCCTGATGTGATCGTCGCGACCACTTCCCCCAGCACCTCGCCACCTAACAAGACCGGTAGTGCCCCGGTGGACGCCTCCTCCATGCAAGAGCTCGATCTAGCAACTAGCAATCCTTTTACAAAAAAAGGCATCGCAGCAAAAGCCTTTCATCCCGACCGACCCTCAACTGCCTTCTCCTGCCAACTGCCTCCGGCTGCTCCACCGGTCCACCTGACTCATGAATTGAAGGCCGCCAGCTAGTACGGCACCGCTAGACCGGTCAGGTCCGAGCACCAAAGCAAGCAAGGAAAGGGAAGGAACAGGCAAAGAGAAGGAAGGGCGGCGGGCCCGCGTCTTCCAAGGCCAGTGGAGGCACTGTACGGCACCCCGGTACGCGACTGTCACCCCGGCTGCGGGGAATCCACCTTGCAAGCAGGAAACACATCTGCAGGCGGAGACAGCTCCCAGCTCCCAGCTTAACTTCTCTCCCGGCTCCAGCAGAGGGAAGACAGCCCTATCCCGCCCCCCTCCTGCCCCCCGGGCAAGCGCCAAACCTCCACCCACTCACTCCACTCAACCGCGTCATGGTCGTGCTTCCGGGGTCTGCTACTTCTTCCGCCCCCCTCCCGCCATCAGCCACCTCCCCCCTCCCTCCATTAGCCACCTCACACCCAATCGCACCGCGCTTCCCAGGAGGTAACGTCCCCCTGCCGCCGCAGCCCCTCCACCGTCCGTTTCTCTGCACCCAGCCCTCCCTTGAGCTGCGTAAGTCCCTACCTTGGAAGCCCCTCCCACCTTCGGCCTCAAAAGCAATTGCTGCCTTCCTCCCGAACGGCACACACTTCGACACTCAAGTGCGGACGCGCTCCCCTCCGCCGCCCTCCTCACCAACCGCCTGATCCCTAGCGCTGCTGCCCTAGTGCTGCTGCTGCTGCCAGTCGGCAAAACCGACCCCCCCGGGGCCCAGCGGCTGCTCGGTGTCCGCTCAACACACACCCTCCAGCCACACGCCCCCCCCAGCTGCGGCACACGCCTCGTCAGTCGCCCGCGCTCATCCGCCTCACTCGTGGCGCCACTCGGCCGCCCCCGACCCTGCTCGCTGCCTCCCCGGGTCCTCCATGCCGACGTGCGGAGTCAGTGATGTTCCGCTAGTAGGCTGTGGGCTCCCTCCGCTGCCCGTCAGGCCGCCCACCCCCTCTCCTCTCTCTCCCAGTGCTGTCTGCATGGGCGGCGTGCCGACTGCCAGGCCGCCCCCTCTCTCCCAGTGCCACCCATCTAGCATGGGCGGTGCCTCTCTCAGCGCTGCCTGGACCCCTCATCGCTATCTACATGGGCGCCCTCCCTCAGCGCTGCATGCATGCCCCGCCCCGCCCCCTCCCAGCTAGCGCCCTCAGTGGTTGATGGGCTGCAGCGGGGGCGCCCGCAGCGCAGTGAGGTCCAACTGCGAGTCCGCCTCCTCGTCCACCTCGCCCACCACGGCGCTGGGGGGGGGGGTAGGGGTGAGGGCGGGGGGCGCGGGTGGGGGGAAAGGGGGAGGGGGGAGGAGATGAGATGCAGCAAGGGAGGAGGACGGGAAAGAGGGACAGCGTCATGAAGAACAGGATAAGCCAACCCCCCCTGGACTTCCCCCTGTATCCTGTTTCGTCTTATGCCCTAGAGGCACGGGACAACCAGCCGTCCGCTCTCTGCCCGCTACCCTGCTGCCCGCTACCCTGCTGCCCGCTACCCTGCTGCCCGCTACCCTGCTGCCCGCTACCCTGCTGCCCGCTACCCTGCTGCCCGCTACCCTGCTGCCCGCTACCCTGCTGCCCGCTACCCTGCTGCCCGCTACCCTGCTGCCCGCTACCCTGCTGCCCGCTACCCTGCTGCCCGCTACCCTGCTGCCCGCTACCCTGCTGCCCGCTACCCTGCTGCCCGCTACCCTGCTGCCCGCTACCCTGCTGCCCGCTACCCTGCTGCCCGCTACCCTGCTGCCCGCTACCCTGCTGCCCGCTACCCTGCTGCCCGCTACCCTGCTGCCCGCTACCCTGCTGCCCGCTACCCTGCTGCCCGCTACCCTGCTGCCCGCTACCCTGCTGCCCGCTACCCTGCTGCCCGCTACCCTGCTGCCCGCTACCCTGCTGCCCGCTACCCTGCTGCCCGCTACCCTGCTGCCCGCTACCCTGCTGCCCGCTACCCTGCTGCCCGCTACCCTGCTGCCCGCTACCCTGCTGCCCGCTACCCTGCTGCCCGCTACCCTGCTGCCCGCTACCCTGCTGCCCGCTACCCTGCTGCCCGCTACCCTGCTGCCCGCTACCCTGCTGCCCGCTACCCTGCTGCCCGCTACCCTGCTGCCCGCTACCCTGCTGCCCGCTCCTGAGCCCTGACCACCGCCCTGACCGGCACCCCAAAGAAACACCTCTCATGCGCACCCATGCTTGCATGCAGCCAGCCAGCCAGCACATCCCCGAGCGCCCCTCCCGGCCCTGTACCCCCCGCCCCCCACCCCCGGGGCTACTCACACGTTGTCCCCGCGGATGCAGTATATCCCGGGGTTCTGAATGATCTGGACTCCGGACTGCGGAGGGGGGGCGGGCGGGTGGCAGCAGGGGAGGAGAGGGATGGCAGCAGGAGGGAAAAGGGATGGCAGCAGGAGGGAATAGGGATGGCAGGGATGGAGGAGAGCGGCGCAGCGGGGGAGTGGCGGAGGGAGTGTTCAGCATTGGCGGCGACACCCGAAAGCAGCACTGCATGCGGGTATCTAAGGAGGAGCCGCAGCTGCAGCTGCAGCGACTCAGCAGCTGCAGCAGCAGCAGGCAGACACTAGGAGGGAGGGGCACATCCCTTCGCCGCTGCAACTGCGCCCGGCTCCCACCTTTGTTGAGTACACGCGCTCCTGGCACTCCTGCAACAGCAGGTTGGTCGCCTGGTCGTACCCGCGCAAGATACCCTGGGCAAGGCGGCGCGATGTAAGCAATTGCAGCTGCAACATGCCGCGATCGAGCAGCAGGCGTGAAGCCCCGACTTACTACGTAATGTTTTCCGTCGTTTGTGATAACAGCGATTTGGGCTGCGCGCAGAAGCCGTCAGCGAGGTGAGTAGAGGCATCATTTGCGCGCCAAACCAAGCCAGCAGGCAGCCGCTCCTGCACAACTTACTGCCGACCAGCGGCGCTAATCCAGCTTCCCCCGTCGCCATTGCTTATTGGCTATGGGGCCTACGTCTAGTGCAATGTCTAGAGACCAACCAGCCGCACAGAGCGGTGTATCAAAGCAACTGAAGCAACTGCATGAAAAGTAACAGTAATATAACTGATCAAAGCTAGAAGATACTTAAATGGCCTATGCGGGAAACCAGGCTATGCTGCACATACAGGCTCTATGATACCACGCAATCGTCAAGCAGGGAAAGTATGTTGTGATCAAATGAACAAAGGTGATTAACTTGTGATCAGGGGCATCGGCACTGTATCTTGGTTGTCATAAGCCGTACCCTCGTCCGGATGGACACAGAAAGCAAGGTCCGGCTATCCACATTTCTGCTCCATTGTCGATCTAAACACTAGGACGTTATCAGAGGTTATCGTGCTCTCGGCTGCTGTCCTTATCCCTGCTACTTTTCGGAGTGTCGGAGCAGACCCTATGGCGCAACTCGCGATCAACGCGGCCAGCCGCACCATGCTCTCAAAAGCCCTTGGGCAACAACGTCTTACTCCCAAGTGTGTGCCCCATCTAGCTGTCTCTCGCCACGCTCATGTGGTCCAAGGAGTGCCGCAGCGTCGCAACGCGCGGGACACCATCGCGCAGCGCTCTGTAATTGCCCGGGGAAAGGCAAGTTACGCCACTCTGCAATGACACACTTTGAGTGGATCCATCCTTATAACAGGAGGCAAACCGTCGGCTAAATGTGTGACCCGCTGGGCCTCATTCTGCCGTCCACTTTGCAACCATGGCAATACAACCCATCGTCTACGCGTCTCTCAACAGGTCGAGAAGATCTCAGGCGAGCAGCTCGAAGTAGAAATTGCAAACCGCGATACCACAATCGTTGTGGACTTCTTCGCGGTAAGCTGCTGCTGCCCTTATAGCCTATACCGTTGGCTAGCTCACGATCGCCCTCACTTTCCTCTCCTCACAACACCAATCCCAACCCCATATCGCCAGCAACACAATTACGTCAGCCACCCCTTTCAAGGCTTCCGCTATAGCGTCATATCTGTGTCCCAGTGCCCACTTATCCCGCGGAACCAATCCCGCCCGCTCGCCTCCCACCCTCCCGTTCATTCCCCAACCCGCCCCCTCACATGCATCACCGCAGACCTGGTGCGGCCCCTGCCTGCTGCTAGCCCGGGAGCTGGAACAGGTGCGGGCGGCAGGAGGGGGGCGGGGAATGATAGTGGGCGGGGAAGGATGAGCGGTGGGTGGAGAGAAAGCCCCACCCGTTAGGAGGGTGGGGATGAGCGATGGGGTGTCATAACGCCTCACACTGGCCTCTGGGGGCTTGGGGATTGCAGGCTTGAGATGCTGGTACCGGTATTGGGATGGCATGCAGCCCGTGCTGGCATAGTCCCCTGCCTCGTCCTCCTGCTTCGTGCTTCCCTGCCCTCCCCTGCCTTGCCTGTGGCCCGTGCCTCTTCCTCCCCCGCTTTGCGCCCTGCCTCTTTTGGTCCGGACAAAGTACACTTTCCCCTGTCTTCCTCCGCTTCCCTCCCTTGACACCACACGTACCCCTCGCCCCACCTCCTCCCCCCGTGTGGTGAAGCCTCGTCATACAGTTTGTCGGTTCCCTTGTTTTCCCCCCTTCGCGCCCCCCCGCGGCGTTGCAGGTCGCCGAGGAGTTGTCCGGCAAGGTCAAGGTGGTGAAGATCGATGTGGACGAGAACCCCGACCTCTCCAACATGCTGCGGGTGGGGCTGCGGGAGGGAGGGCGGGATGGAGGAGGAGGAGGGTGGACTGGAGGAGGGCCAACCCTCCCTTTGTCTTGTGGCACCCTGCCGCCTGATTCCCCAAGGTTTTGCCATCATTCGTGGTTTCCCATGGTTTGATCTCCTTTGACCCCCGCCAACCCGCTCCCCTCCTCACCCCACCCCTGTCACTCCCCTGTCACTCCCCCTCCTCCCCCCCACAGATCCAGGGCCTGCCCACCATCGTCTTCATCCCCAAGGAGAACGGCAAGCCAGCGCTGCGCACCGAGGGCTGGCTGCCCGCCGCGCAGATCAAGGAGATCCTGGAGCAGCTGGAGACCGGCGCCACTCCGCAACAGCAGCAGGGGGGGCAGGAGCAGGGGGAGCCGCAGCAGCAGTAAAGCTGCAGAGGCGGTGAAGCAGGAGCAGGCGCGAGGGCACCACAGCAGCAGCGGCTGCCGGTTGAGGGCTTCTAGGGTGGGGGCGAACCATCCCATGGCAAAAGACAGGGCAGGGGCGCAGCGGGCTCTACTGTATCTTACCTGAGCCGCTGAGAGCGCCCACATCAGCATCTGGATCCGGACCTGGGTTTGGCGGCAGCAGTGCCGTACAGTGGTGGCCAGCAGGTGGCATGCGACCACCGCCCGGTCTCCTCACCCTGCACACCGGACTAGCCGCACAAGACACCTGGTTGGGGGGGCCGCGGTGGGGGCTCGTTGCTGCTGTGGTGGCGGCGGGTGCTTCACCGGTCGGATTTTGCTGCTGCTGCTGTTGTTGTTGTCGCATGTTGGAGGCGACCGGCCGCGCTACCCCGGCGGCTGTCCGGGGTGGTGATGGGATGGGTGGTGGGTTGCTTTTAAGTGCCTTGCTGCATGTGGATGGATGCGTGCAGCCGGGGGGTGGGCGGTTGGGAGCATGTCGTGAGTGGGGAGAGGGGGGGCACTTGCAGAGGAGGGAGAGGGGAGGCGTTGCTGCGTGGTACCGGCTAGCCGGCATGGGAACTGAAGCGCCGCGCTGCCGCGCTGCTGGGGGTGCTGGGGTGCTGGGGCTGCTGGGGGTGCTGCATGGGGGTCTCCGGGTATGTGTGCGGGGGGTGATTGGAGTGGTGTGATAAGGGGGCGTTTGGAGGTGGTGCTTAGGGCGGGTGGGGAGCTACCGTAGGGGCTTGAGGGGCATGGAAGTGGAAGTGGGATGTGCTCGTGGTGGATGCTGCTGCTGGTGCGGGTGTGCGGGAGGAGTGGCCGGAGGGCGGGAGGTGGAGTGCTTCACCGAGTGCCGAGGGCTGCTGCTGCATGAGAGGCATCATTTGGCGGGACAAGGCAGGGCAGGATGCGCAAGGCACGCGCATAGGGGGCATGGCATGTCGCGTGCTGGGCTCGTCTGAGGTGTATATTTGGGGTTTACAGCTTTGAAATGAATGGTGCGCCTGCGTGAATGAGCCACATCTACTCACAGCAGACGTTTTGTAAGATACACCCAAGTAATGAAAGGGCAACGCGTGTGACCCTACGCGTTGAAAACACAACAGAGGGAGCGGTATACCATACGGGTTAACTGCGCACGCGTTCAGTCAACTATGGGGCGCCGAACGTCAACGTATACGGCGAAGCGCAGCAGCTCTCCAAACAAATAAACATGGGCTGCTTGATTCCCACGCACCAATCGCTATGTGTGGTTAGTAGTTAGTAGGCAACACTATAGGGGACCCCTACAGATGGTTGTATGCAAATGCCGGCATCAACAGACGCGCAAGGAAGAGGAAAACAGCGTAAGACGTACAATACATAGGAGAAAAGAGCCCCCGTAACAGCAAGGCACTAACCAAAATAATTTCATTGGGACGTGTCGATACACAAATGTCAGGGGTTAACCATCTCTCCACAGTCATGTAAGGTAACCACCCATCCACAACCACCCACTGGGTTAACTGTATTCACCTGGACTTACGCAAAACCTCTGTATATACATGGATATGACAATTGCCTCTTTGAGAGGTCAAAGCTGTGGGGCGGACAGCAGGTGGGAAAGAACCCTTTGTGACCCATGGTTCCATCAAATACCATTCCCCCTAGTATATAATATAATATAGTACGTCAGGAAACCTCATCAATTTCACACAAAGATGATATAAACCGTCTTCTCAACGCAGACGTCGCTATGTACATGGGCTCGCAACTACCGATGGGCAAAAGACTAAAATGATTAATCTCTATCGGTTAATTACACAACCAGGATAGGGCCCTCACCCGCATCGCATTATACCTCAACCATTAAAACACAACGCCACCCAAGCAGCACCTCCCCACGCACCGAAACCAACCGCGCCCACCTCCTCCATCACCCCCTCGGGCTCACCGCGCTCTGCTGCCTCTGCGTCGCCTCAACGACCGCCGCCAGCAAATCCGCAGCCACCGCCCCCGCCGCTGCCGCGCCCCTCTTCCCCCCCTCCGCCCCCTTCCCCAGTCCCTCTCCCGCACCACCCGCCGTTGGCCCCCTTGACCCACTCACCACCACCACCGCCGCCCCGCACAAATCCACACCCGCCGGCAGCACCCAGGAAGCCACACCGCTTCCCCGTCGCATGCCCCAGGAGCTCCCCCCCTCCGACGTCGCCTCCACAACCACCTCCGAACGGATCAGCGGCGGTGCCTCCACCTCCACCTCCGCCACGCCCTCAGCCGCCGCCCCTCCGCCCAACAGCGACGTCAGCATTGCCGTCTCCTCCTCCGTCACCCCACACACCGCCTCCGTCGCTGCCTCAATCTCCACCTCCGCCGCCGCCGCCGCCGTCGCCACCGTCGCACCCCCTCCCACCTCCTCTTCCGCCTCCGGCTCCTCCGCCACCGCCTGCAGGCTCCGCACATGCACACCCGAGGAACGTCCCGACAGCGGCCCGCTGGCGCCCGCCGACATCACGCCGCGACCGCCGCCGCCGCCGGCGACGAAGAGGCCGTCGGCGGCGGAGGAAAGCGACTGCGACGCCTCAATGGCGGCGGCGGCGGCGCCAGCGGAAACAGCGACTGCGGCGGCGGCGGTTGCGGCCACACGCGGCGTCAGCGGCGGTGAGGACATGACCACTCCGCGCGGAGTCGCCGGTCGCTGCTGAGGGGAGGCCGGCGTCGGGGGCAGCGGCAGCATGCGGGGGCTGAGCAGGGCTGCCTGTGTGCGTGGCGAGGACTGCAGCAGCAGTCGGGCTGACGACAGCTGCCGCGGTGACGGCAGCGCTCCTCCTGCTGCTCGCGGAGACGCTGTCGTACGGCGGATATCGCCCAACCGCCGCTGCAGCGCCAGCAAGGGAGCGGCACCGGTGTCACTTGCGGCCGCCTCCGCCTGCTCGGTACGGGCTGCCGTACGAGTCATGCCGCCGCTGCCGCTGCCGCCAGCGGCGCCGCTGCCGGCGGGGGTACGGTTGTTGCTGCCGGTGTTGCTGCCGGCGGCGGCGGATCGCTCCCGGAGTACTGCGCGGTAGTGGCGCTTGACCCGGGGGACCAGCCGGGCCAGGAAGCTGTCGGCCGTACGGAGCCTGGGAGGGAATGGTAGAAGGGGAGAAGACCAGTTGATGACGGAAATGAGGAGAGAGGAAGGGATGGCTAGAGATGGCGGGAGGAGGTCAGGGACACAGCAAACCGTTCCGTTCCCAAGGAAAGCGGGTTAGTTAGCGAGGTGGAACCGGGTTGAAGCTGGGGACTCGCAGGTGTCGCCACGCAAAACGATCACCCACTGCAAAGCGAAAATCCGGTGGCTAGCAAGCCTCGTGCCCGTACGCTTTCTTTCCGCGTGCCCCTCCTCCTCCTCGCCCTAGGACCACCCCCCACCTGTTGTGCGCCAGTAGCAGCTCCGCATAGGCGCACGCAGCCGCCTGGGTGGCGGGGGCGGCGGGGCTGAGCGCCTCGCTGCGCAGTGCGATCAGCGACACCAGCAGCGGCTCCGCGGCGTGCCACAACCCCATGCCGGCTCCCGCCACGTGCGCCAGCAGCGCCTGCACTTCCAGGGAGGGCTCGGAGGTGGCGCCGTACAGCTGAGGGTGGGGGTGGCGGGGCGGGTGCGGGTGGGGGTGATGGGCGGGTTAAGGCTCAAGGGGAAAAGAAGAAGAAGGGGAAGGAAGAAGAGGAGTTTGGGTCATACAGGATTCCAGGATTCCAGCCCGTTGCAAATGTTCCCACAAACACCCCGCCCGCACCGCCGCTTACCTGCTGACGGGCCTTCAGTGCCCGCTTGCCCCACTCCCAGGCCAGGTCCCAGGCAGGATCGTACGACGGCACCTCCACCTCCACCTCCGCCGCCGTCACCTCAGCCGGCGGTGCTTCTCCTGCCGCAGCCGCCGCAGCCGCAGCAGCCCCCTCCACCTCCCCCACACCTGCAGCTCCCAGCGACTGCGGCGGCACCACGTACGGCCTCGCCGTAGCCGCCAGACACACCGCCGCCAGCAGCGCCGCCTCGGGGTGCCGTAGCCGCGACCACCACACGGGCTGCCGTACAGCTGCCGCTGCCGCCGCCGGTGCTGCTGCTGTTGCCGTACTCTCAGCACGACCCGGCAGCCACCCCAGCCAGCATGCTGCCTCCGAGGCGGCGGCGGCGGCCTCTCGCAGCAGCTGCGAACGCTGGCCCTGACGGAGGCTGTCGCCGCTGCAGGGCGGAGCCGCCGCCGCCAGCAGCTGTAGACGCGCCAGCGTGAGCGCCACACCCGCCAGCGGCGCCGCCGCCGCGTCAGGCACCGCGACGTCGCCGTCAGCCGCGAGCGCCGAGTCGGCCCCTGCGTCCGCTGACGGCGGCGTCAGCTGCTCACCACGCGTCAGGGCCTCCACCACGTAACGATACTCAGCCGCCAGCTGCGGCAGCGCCGCTGCCGCCGCCAACACCACTCGCATGCACGGCGGCGGCGCTGTCGACGGCGGCGGCAGCGGCTGCGCCCACGCGGCGTCGGCGCCCTCAGCCTCCGCATCCTCGCTCCAGGCATTATACCCCCAGAAGTCGCCCTCCGTAGACTTGGCGCGGCCCAAGGCGTACCACGGCAGGTCCCACGGAGTGACCCATGGGTCCTTCGGCTCGCTCGGCGCCGCGCCCGCCGCCAGAGCGCGAGCCGCCGCCGCCGCCAGGGCCTTCCCGGCGGTGGAGGCGGCGCCGTCCCTCGGCGTGCACATGCGCGACGACGCGGGGGTGCTCGGATTGGAGGGGGTGGCGTACGGCGTCAGTGCCGCCAGTCGTACCGCACAACGGGCTCGCGCGGCGGTGGCGGCGGCGTTGAGCAGGAGGAGGGAGTCTGGCAGTGACCCAGGGGTCTGCACGGGAAGGGGAAGCGAGCGGCAGGGGGAAAGGCAAGGTTAAAAGGGTGGGAATGGAAGGTAAAGCGGGGCGGTGGGCGTGTGAGTGAGAGGGCTGATGTCTGAAAGTGTTGACAGGACAGCACCAAAGTCAGCAGTGCCGGCAGAGCAGGGGAAATTGGCCTCGCCCTTCCCTGCCCCTCCTGCCCCCCCCTGCCTCCCAGCCAGCCAACACCCCACCTCCTCCCACCTCCCCAACCCCGCTCACCTGCTGGCAAAGCTCCAGCGCGCGTTCGTACCGCCACGCCGCCCCCGCCACCTGGCCCCGAGCCTCCCGTACGACACCCTGCAGCGCCGCCGCCTCCGCCAGCAGCGCGCACACATCATGTACGGCAATCGGCGTCAGGCTGGTGACGTCATCACCCACCGCCGCCGCTGGCTCCGTCTCCGGCGCCCCATAGCACCCAGCGTTGTCCGCCGTCAGAGACCTCAGTGCCTCCGTCAGCAGGACCTCCGCCTCCGCCACCGCCGTCGCCGCCTCCGCCACCGCCGCGGCGTCAGCGGTGACGGCCGTCGGCGCCGCCAGGCTCAGTCCGGCGCTCAGGAGGAGCCCGCGTGCCGCCAGGAGTGCTGCCGAGGTTCGTAGATGCGCCTCCTCCGGGCTGGCGCCGGCAGCCTCCTCCTTTTCACCACCACCCGCCGCCTCCGCCTCCGCCAGCGCCTCCTGAGCAGCCCGCGCGCGCCTGATCGCACCACGCAACATCTCACCAGCAGCCGCAACCACCTCCGCAGCAGCAGCAGCAGCGCCGCCGTCATCATCATCCGCCGCTGCCGCCGGCTCGTTGCCGTACAGCCCCGGCGGCGCCGTCAGCAGCATCGCCGTACCGTACTGCAGCTGCGACGGCGGCAGCAAGGCGTGTGCCGCCGCCAGCAGGCGGGCTGCCTCCCGGACTTCCTCCGCCGCTGCCGCGAGCTTCGAAACAACTACTGTGGTGTCAATATCCGGAGCAGCAGCAGCAGCAGCAGTGCATCCGCCATCGGTCTGTTGTTGTTCTGACGCGCATAACTCGCTGCGTGGCTGCTCCGGTCCGCGCTGTTGCTGCTGCCGCCGGGGCTGCTGTTGCTCTGGCATTGGCGGCGGTGGCAGAAGGAGCTGATGCCCCAGCAAGTCAGACTCCTCCTCCTCCTCCTCCTGCTGCTGCAGTGTCGGTGGAGGCAGCTGTTGGTGCGCCTCCTCCTGCGGCTGCTGCTGCTGCTGGCCGTCCAGCTGCTGCTGCATGGCTGCCCCAGGAACCTCAAGCGGCGGCGGCGAGGGGGTATTGCCACTGCCGCCACTGCTGCCGAACCGCTGCTGCTGCTGCTGTTGGTCTCCTGCGGGGCTGGCCGCAGGTAGCGGGCTGGCAGGCAGCAGCGGCTGGGAGGGTGCGGAGACCACCTCGGGAGTAGTGTCCTTCTCGCTAACCAGCTCACACTCCTCCTCCTCTTTCTCCTCCGCCTCCTCCTCCTCTTCTTCCGCCACCGGGGGCAGCGCAACCGCCATGACCTCCTCCAACTCCTCCAGCGTCACCACCTGTTGCTGCAGCTGCTGCATCCCTCCCTCCTCCTCCTCCTCCTCCCTCACCGCCGCCATCCCCACCAGCCGCTCCTCCTCCATCTCCGCGAGCACCTCAGCTGCCAGTAGGTAAGCCTCCATCTCCCCCTCCTCACTCAGGTCGCTACCGCACTCCACGAGCACCCCAGCCAGCGGCTGCTCGCGGGACTTCAGCAACGCAACCCTGCTCCGCCACAGCCTCAGCGCCAAGCTACCCTCCACCTCCTCCTCAACCGCAGCCTCGCCGCCGTCGCCCTCGCCGTCGCCGCCGCGGATCCAGCTAGACAGCGCCGTCGCCAGTCGCGCCATGGGCCACGTCAGCGGACAGCCCGCTAGCGTGGCGCCGTGGCGCTCCATCCAACCACCCTCAACCGCCGCTAGCAATGCGCGCGACAACTCCACCAGCGCCGCCGCCGCCGCAAGCTGCTGCGCCGCCGTACATTCCTCCGTGTAGCACCCGCCTCCGCCGCCGCCACCGGTGCTGCCGCCGCCGTTACCGCCACCGCCGCCGCCGCCCATTGTGTCGCCGCGCTCCCATCCTTGCAGCCCGGAAATCCACTTGACGTCCGCCGGGCCTGCCGCCGCCGCGCCGCCGAACGACACCTCCGTCAGGTCATCCGCCGATGCGTCGTCGGCAGGTGGCGGCGCCGCCAGGTGTCCGTTTATCTCCACCAGTCGACTCATGGTGTCGACCTGCGCCTGCAACCGCCCTCCGTTGCCCTGGCAGCCGCAACCACAACCGCAGCCCGTGCAACCGCAGGCCGTTGTGACGGTCAGCGCTAGCCGCATGCGCTGCGCCAGGTCCCATGCAAGCAGCTGTAGCGCGCGGCTAGCGGCGCGGTCAACATGCTGCAAAGCGGCGGCGCTGCAGGAAGACGAACCGCCGCCAGAGCCGCGGACGTCGCCATCCGTCGCCGCCTGCTGTTGCTGCTGCTGCGGCTGCTCATCTTCCTGCTGCTGCGCCACCTCCGCCGACGCGATACGGCCGCCATCGCCGCCGTCGCCGCCTTCCTCATCCTGCTCTCCATCCGCCGCCGCATTCGCCTCCACGGCAACAGCGTCGTCTGCTCCGCCGCCTGCCGCCGCCGCCGCCACCGCCGTCGCTCCGGGATCAACCGGAGCCAGATCCAGATCCAACGCCGCCACGGAGCTGAGCACCGCCTGCTGCACATGCAGCGGAACTACCACCACCTCCCAGCGCTCCTCGGGCGCCCAGTGAACCGTCTTCACCACGCGGTTCGTGGTTTCGGAGATAAGCGGGTAGTCACAGCTGCTGAGGCTGCTGCTGCCTCCGAGGGAGGTGCTGGCGCTGCTACAGCCGCCGCGGCTGCTCTCCTGGCTTCGGAGCGCCTCGCAGCGCGTGCGGGAAGGGCCGAGGGGCTTGCAGCTTCCGCCGCCGGTGCTGCGGTAACGGCTCAAGACGCCGCTGCCGCCGCCGCCCTTGCTACCGGACCCGCCACCGGGGGCGCCGCCGCCGCCAACGGAAGTAATCTGCAGCATGGCCCCGCTGCCGGCGTCGCTGGCAGGGTTGTTGTTGATGGTTGCGGCGGCGGCGGAGGTGGCGAAAGATTGCCGCCAGAGCAGTCCAGGCGACTGTCCGTCTATGTCGCCGCCGGATCGCTGTACGACAGTGATCAACTGAAGACGCAACAGCTCTTGAAGCAACGCAGCGGCGTCGCCGCCTGCGGCATGCGGCGAACCGCCGTCTGACGAGGGCATCGTCGGCGAAGCCGACCCCGTCCGCTGCAACTGCCGCTGACTCCAACGACCGCCGCCGCCGCCCCTCTCGAAACCGCCACCCGCTGCGGCGCCGCCGCCAGCGGCGGCAGCAGCAGCAGCGGCTGCCGCTTCACCGCCGAACAGCGGGTTGGCGCACTGCCGTCGCCAGGGCTGCTCAGCTGCCGAGAGGTCTAGCGAGGCGCCCAGGGCCGTCACCGCCTGGGGGGCGCCTAGCGGCACTTGCAGGCGAGCCAGGGAGGCTAGGGCGCGGAGGTGGATGGCAGGGAGGGTTCGCAGGCGGGCGGAGACGTCGGAGAGGGGCTGCGGCGGGAGGGGCTTCCAGGCGATCTCGCTACCGACTGAGCTGGCGGCATTGCTGGCTTCGGAGCAGAGCGGGTTGGAGGTCTCGGTTAGGAAGGCGGTGGCGAGGGCGGGAGAAGGGAGCTGGGAGGCAGTGGTGGTGGAAGCGTCGGTTGCTGGGTGGGACTGCGGTTGGGGCAGGGAACCCAGCTGGGATGATGGCGATTGGCATGGGTCGGCGCCGGCAGTGCTGCCGCCAAGACTGTTATCGCTTGAGCTGCTCTCGCTGGCTGCTTGCTCGTCGCTGGCGAAAAAAGAGGCGGACAGAATGGACCGTCGATTGTAAGTGCCGCGATAATTGCGTGCCAGCGCAGACGGTCCACGGCGAACTTGGTCAGAGTACTTTCCCTGGCAGTGCATTGGGTTGAACCATCTGTAATCGGATGAAAGCTGGCTAGGCACTGCAGCCTGCGAATCGCTGTGGTTAAGGGGCTCGTCTACTTCATCCAGCGCTGAATTGGAAGCCATTTCTAACTTCTGCAGACCAGACTTGGTGGAGGTATGTTGGCTAGAAGTGGGTCTGCCTAAAATGGTCTAGGCCCAGCGCACAGCTGGCATGGAGGGCAACGCCGACGTGCAGAAAACGTGCTTTGCCATTAATGGGTTAACCTTAATAACTCTGTGTATCAGTGTAACAGAATGCGCATGTGATGCGGCCTATCGAACACCAGTAAGTCCTTGGCTGTGCAAACGGACTACTGTAGCATACACAACGCTCGGTCGCGCTCCCGTCGCGTAGAGTCTTCACTCTTTGTCGTGATTTCGTGTATATGCCAATAGCATATATCTTATATATAGTAGCGCTATGGGTCTTCTTTCCTATCTGGCTTGCCAATGGAAGAGTGGATGCTCGTCCAACGGTGGCTGCAGCCCAAAATTCGCACCCTGCCACCCTACGAACGCCACCCATCGCAGGCAGGTAAAAAAAGATAAATAAAGGCTGCAACCTTCCTTTCTCTCCGATAGTCAGCTGCTGGCCTGCTGCCCATCCAGCCAGTGCTTGCAGCAGCTCTTTAAGCCCGGCTAGATAAGCGTAGCACACTCGGTTGGGGAAGCAGCTTCTTGTAACGATCCTTGATAACCACTTGGAGATGGAGGTCCTCCCTGCCTTATGTTTGCATCCTAACTTCGCATTAATGCCGACGCCAAATAAACGCAGGCCGTCAACTCCTCCCGCGCTCTGCCAATTTTCAAGTATGGCTTGTGTCCCGAAACAGCCTTGGCAGATTGTAACATGACTGCAACACGCAATCGCATTAACGGTACGCTGGCAATATAAACGGATTGCTCCGGGAACCCTGCACGTCTGCAGTGAGCCGGGGAAAAGAACTGAACTTCTCTTCTTTGATTTCGGAAGGACTAGCGCCAGGAAACCATCTTAGCGAATTCCCTTTTCCGGCCCATCCAATAAGGACCACGCATGCCTGCAAAAAATACCCGTCCGACACCCTTGGTAGACCCTTGACAAACAGTGATCAGCGTCACCTGATCGCTGTGATAGCCCGTCCAGCACCCTCCCTGCACCTCCTCACCTGCTCCTGCTGCTGCCAGCACGGCAGCACAACCCCCCGCCTGCAAACAACCCCGGCCACCCCCTGCAGCCCCCCATTCGCTCCCTACTAACACACACAAACACAGTCTTCACAACACCCGCCACACAGTCTTCACTACCCACGGCAGCTTTCCTGTATGTGCACACCCCGCCCGCACACGTAACCCACATACCCAACACCTCGCTGCGCACGCAACACCGCCTCCCCATCCCCTCTCCTCACACCCCCTGTACCCCCTCACGCCTCCCATCCCCTCTCCTCGCACCCCCTTCTCCATGCACCTCTCACGCCTGGGCCCCCTCCTCCGCTGGGGCCTCCGCTGCCTTCCCCTCCCGCTCCCGCTCCTCCCGCTCCTGCGCCGCGAGCCGCTCCGTCCTCGCTGCCAGCCTCGCCTGCAGCTGCGGCACCAGCTGCTCCACACCCACCTCGTCCTCGCGGTGGGCGTCCATGTCCTGCGGGCGGGGAGGGGGGGCGTGTCAGGGGCGGGAGGAGGGAAAAGAAGAATACCTAATGTGTTGAATGCAAATGGCAAACAAGCCGACGAGCTCGGTTGGAGGGAGGGGTCAGGAGGGCATTGCGGGCCATAGGAAACAAGGGGTTGGAGAGGGGGGAGGAAGAAGAAGAAGAACCGTCGAACATAACCCAGATGTCCGATTCAGACACCGTATCTCTTTTACACGCACTTCCCCCCCCCACCCCACACACAACGCTTCACCCACAGTTCCCCTCCCCCCCCACCCCACCCCACCCCATCATGCTCTTCCCCTGCCCTACCTTGATCTTTACCACCCCCCTGCTGATCTCATCCTCCCCGAACAGCACCATGAACGGCACGCCCTGCTCGTGGCAGTAACCCAGGTTGTCCGCCATCTTGGGCGCCGGCTTGTACCCGAACTCAGCCCGGATGCCGGCCGCCCACAGCTGCGCCGCCAGCTGCATGCGCCGCACCTGCAGCCCGGGACCGATGGAGCCCACCAGCACCTCCGTCTCGATGGCGCGGACGGGGCGGCCCTGCGCGGCGGCGCGCTCGCGGACCTGGGGACACGGCATGGGTCGGAACATGGGAGAGAGGGAGGAGGGAGAGAGGGAGGAGGGAGGAAGACGAGGAAACTAAACGAGGTGTATGACGAGGCTTGGCCATGAGGGAGAGAGGGAGAGAGGGAGAGGTGGGGATTGTCGGAGGGTAACATACAATAATAGGATAGTGCTAAACGCATTGCCCCCTCCGCACCCATCCCTTTCGGGTTTTTCGCTTTTACCGTTCTTTGCCCTTCCCTCCCTAACACAATCACACATCTCGCTTTTTCACCCCCCACCCCTCCCCCATCTCCCCTCTCCCCCACCTGCTGCTCCATGATTGCAAACACCCGCTCAATGCCGATGGACACCCCCACGGCGGGCACATCCTTGCCGCTGAACATGCCCACCAGCTTGTCGTAGCGGCCGCCTGACGGGGGGAGGTGAGGGCGAGGTGGGGTGCGGGCGAGGTGCGGGCGAGGTGGGGTGCGGGCGAGGTGAGGGCGAGGTGGGGTGCGGGCGAGGTGAGGGCGAGGTGGGGTGCGGGCGAGGTGAGGGCGAGGTGGGGTGCGGGCGAGGTGAGGGCGAGGTGGGGTGCGGGCGAGGTGAGGGCGAGGTGGGGTGCGGGCGAGGTGAGGGCGAGGTGGGGTGCGGGCGAGGTGAGGGCGAGGTGGGGTGCGGGCGAGGTGAGGGCTAGGTGGGGTGCGGGCGAGGTGAGGGCGAGGTGGGGTGCGGGCGAGGTGAGGGCGAGGTGGGGTGCGGGCGAGGTGAGGGCGAGGTGGGGTGCGGGCGAGGTGAGGGCGAGGTGGGGTGCGGGCGAGGTGAGGGCGAGGTGGGGTGCGGGCGAGGTGCGGGCGAGGTGGGGTGCGGGCGAGGTGCGGGCGAGGTGGGGTGCGGGCGAGGTGAGGGCGAGGTGGGGTGCGGGCGAGGTGAGGGCGAGGTGGGGTGCGGGCGAGGTGCGGGCGAGGTGGGGTGCGGGCGAGGTGAGGGCGAGGTGGGGTGCGGGCGAGGTGAGGGCTAGGTGGGGTGCGGGCGAGGTGAGGGCGAGGTGGGGTGCGGGCGAGGTGAGGGCGAGGTGGGGTGCGGGCGAGGTGCGGGCGAGGTGGGGTGCGGGCGAGGTGAGGGCGAGGTGGGGTGCGGGCGAGGTGAGGGCGAGGTGGGGTGCGGGCGAGGTGAGGGCGAGGTGGGGTGCGGGCGAGGTGAGGGCGAGGTGGGGTGCGGGCGAGGTGCGGGCGAGGTGGGGTGCGGGCGAGGTGAGGGCGAGGTGGGGTGCGGGCGAGGTGAGGGCTAGGTGGGGTGCGGGCGAGGTGAGGGCGAGGTGGGGTGCGGGCGAGGTGAGGGCGAGGTGGGGTGCGGGCGAGGTGAGGGCGAGGTGGGGTGCGGGCGAGGTGCGGGCGAGGTGGGGTGCGGGCGAGGTGAGGGCGAGGTGGGGTGCGGGCGAGGTGAGGGCGAGGTGGGGTGCGGGCGAGGTGAGGGCGAGGTGCGGGCGAGGTGGGGTGCGGGCGAGGTGGGGTGCGGGCGAGGTGAGGGCGAGGTGGGGTGCGGGCGAGGTGAGGGCGAGGTGGGGTGCGGGCGAGGTGAGGGCGAGGTGGGGTGCGGGCGAGGTGAGGGCGAGGTGGGGTGCGGGCGAGGTGAGGGCGAGGGAATACAGATACGAACATCATGCTGGAGGGGAGGGAGGGGAGGTACCGGTAAGCAAGGCACTGGGCTTCAAGGGGGCAGGAGGGGCAGGGAGGGCTCCACGCGCGTGGGGAGAGCTGATTGGGTGGCCGGGCTGCTGCTGGTGCTGCAGAGCCGTTGGGACACACCAGACACCACACACGGCATGCCTAGCTCCCTGCAGGGGTGGGGCCGCATTGTTGAACGGCGACGTTCCATCCTCGAAACCCCCCCCCTGCTCTGCATGACTTTTCTTCGTTTCCCTCCCCCCCAACCCTCCCCCCCTGGACCCCCCCCTAACTGCCGCGATGGACCCCACATTGGCCCCCCACCTGCTCCCTCCCCCTCCCCCCACCTGCGGCGATGGAGCCCACATTCGCCCCCTGCAGCACCGCCTCGTAGATCACCCCCGTGTAGTAGTCCAGTCCGCGGGCCAGCGACAGGTCCAGGCTCAGCGGCCCCAGCGCCCCCATGGCGTCCAGCATGCCGCACATGGCGCTCAGCTCGTCCAGCGCGGCCTTGCCCTGCAGAGGGGGTGGGTGGGTGGGGGGGGGAGGATAACCATAATGGGGGGTGAATTGCCGCAGCAGCTGGCATTGAGTGTTACACCATCTGTCCTCCCCAGTCGCGGCAGCTCTGCCGCCTGTCTCCCCCGCTGCGGCCCCCACAATCCCTCTCCACACACACACTCGCGGCCAGTTATTTTAACACACGCGGCCAGTTTTCTTAACACCCCATCTTCCGGCAATCACAGTACGCTCTGACTCGCGGCCAGTTTTCTTAACACACACCCAACAACCCCCCCACCGCCCCCCCCCTCCCCCCCACCTGCGGGTGCTGCGCCAGCGGGTGGTCGGGGGCGCTCAGCTGAGCCAGCAGCGCCAGCGGCTCGCCTCTGGGGGGGAGGGAGGGGGAAGGGAGGGGGAAGGGGGCATTGTAAGATGCTCGCCTCTAGGGGGGCAAAACGAGCACCCAATGTGTTGAAAGAGAAAGCTAAACTAGGTGGCAAGCAAGGGTGGGGGAGAGCGGGGGTCGGAGGCGGGAAGGGTATCAGAACGGAGGATCATGGAGGGAAGCATGGAGGGAAGCAGGGGCGTACAGGAGGAGGGGTAGGCAGAGGAGTCAGGTAAGAGGTTAGGGAAAGCTCCCAGAGTTGCGCCATTCATCCTTCCCCGCACTTCATCACATCCTCCCTCCCCCACCTGAGCACCACGAACTCCCCGATCTTGTCCGCCACCTCCTCCGGCAGCCCCTTGTCGCCCACCATCTCCGCGCGCACCGCCTCCCACGGCTCCTTGTCCAGCTTGTCGATGGCGGAGCAGATGGGGCGGAACTTCTGGGGGGGAACACCTGGGGGGGGACAAAGACCATATCAAACCATAGGAGACCACAAGTTAGGGCAAAACAACCTGGGGGGGGAGGGGAGGGGAAGGGGAGGACTACTATATTACTACTACTCCTAACGCATCAAGTAACCCTACACACAAGTGTGACCTCCCTCCGCCCTCAGCAAGCTACTTCTATTTCCTTATCCCTCCTCACCCCCCCCTCCTCCCCTCCTTTCCCCCCCTCTTCCCTCCCTCCCCCCTCCCACCCGCGACCGCCAGCATGGCATCCAGCAGCCCCCGGTGGTTCAGCTTCACCACATAGGGCCCCAGCCGCAGGTCGGTCAGGATCTCGGTGAGCACCTTGAGCACCTCCGCGTCCGCCACCATGGGCGCGTAGGCCCCCGCGATGTCGAAGTCGCACTGGAAGAACTCGCGGAAGCGGCCGCGGTTCATTTGGGGCTGGTCGCGGCGGTAGACCTGAGGGGTGGGTGGGTTGGGGGGGAGTGGATGGGAGAGAGGGATTGGATGTACTGATCCGCGAGGAGAGGGAGGGGAGGGGGAAGAGCACGCGGATCGTGATATGGTTACGACGCGGCGGATGACAGTGTGTTGTTAGTAAAGTGCGCCGCGCAAGGAAAGGGCGTGGAAGGGGCGGTGGCAAAGGCGTGGTCCCCACGTGGATTGCGCACAGGAGCTCCCTGTCTCCACACATCCCCGACCTGGTCTTCTGGATCTCTTTCCCTCCCGCCCCCCCCCTCCATTGCCCCCTCTCCATTGCCCTCCCCTTCCCCCCCCCGCCCCCCCCCCGCACACACCTTTCCGATGTGGTACCTCTTGATGTTGCCGATGGAGTGCACCGCCGCAAAGCGAGCGAAGGGGACCGTCAGGTCGTAGCGCAGGGACAGGATCTCACCGCCTGGGGGGGAGCGGAGGGGTGTGTAGTTGAGCGGAAACAAGAGCAAGCAGTTGGGATAGGTGTGTGTTGGGGGGAGGGGGGGTAAACAGCGGTGTTAGGGTTCCATTCCCCCCTCTCTCACCATGTTGCAGTCATTGCAAAGGTCACGGTCAGAGCTTCAGCGCGGGTCAGTTGCCTTGCCCCCCTTTTTGGCCCCCCCTTCCCCCCCAGCCCCCCCCCCTACCCTGGTCCGCCAGGTCGTAGATGAGTTTGGAGTCCTCGCCGTACTTGCCCATCAGCGTCTCACGCAGCTCGAACACCTGCAGGAGGGGAGGGGGGGAGGGGAGGGGGAAGGGGGGGGAGGGTAAGTATAAGGAAACGGACGAGGCAACTAACGAGCTGTGTCACAAGGCTTCACCACGGGAGGGGAGGGGGGGCAGGGGGAAGAAGAAAGCACCATTGGGGATGTGGGGGAGGGAGGGGAGCCACCATTTCGCTCGCGCTGCTGGCCCCATGCGGACACGTGTCCCTCACACCGCTCCACCCCGGCCCCCGCGTCTACCACCAACCACCGCCCTGCGGAAAGACCCGTCAGCAACGCACTCTCCTGCTTCCCCCCCTAGCGGCGTGCGCTTTCCTATGGTTCGGTATGGTCTCTGATCCCCCCCCTACCGGCGTGTCAATGGCCACGGCTCCGTGGCGCTTGAAGACCGATGTGATCATCGCAAAGGCCTTCTCGCGGATGGCCATCTGGTCGGGCAGGAAGTCGCGGGTACCCTTGGGGATCTTGGGCTTGCGGCGGGCCTGAGGCAGGGGGGGGGAGTGGGGAGGACGGGAGGGGAGAGACGGCAGGGAGGGAGGACCGTGACAAGCGTGTATTGACTACGAGAGGGGCCCAGCAAGTGGTTAAGGTAATGCCTTCTGGTGAGCCCTTCTCCTCACCCCACCCTCTCATACACCCCCGCCCCCGCCCCCACCCCCCCGGGTACCATGTAGCAACCCCTGGTGAAGCCCCCTCGTCACACAGCCCCCGTCAACCCCCCCCCCCCCGCACCCCCTTCTTCCTCCCCCCCCCCATTCTCTCCCCTCCCACACACAACCCCCATGCCCCCCCACCTGGTTAGCCTCCACCACTGCCCTCAGCTCCTGCAGGAACTTGCCCGCCCCGGGGGACAGCGGCTGCAGCGCCCGGGCAGCACCGCACCAGGCGGCGGGGGTGGGGGTGGGGGTGGGGGCGGTGGCGCCGTCAGCCGGGGGGGCGGCGGCGGGCAGCACCAGGTAGCCGTCGGGGGAGCCTGAGGGGGGTGAAGGGCGGGGAGGGGAGGAGGGGAGGGGAACATGCGGTGATGATGGGGGAGAAGGAGCGAGCGAGGAATGGTCAGTGAGGAAAGCAAGGAAAGAGCGGCAGGTCGAGGGGTATAAGAGCTGTGACTCCTTGTACTGCGAGTCGGTCGGCGTTGCATGTTGCAGATAGTGGGATGAAGGCAGGGGACGAGACTGCTTCCGACAACCGGGGGGTAGCCCAGCCCCTTCCCAGTCTCATATCCCCTGTTCTTTGTCCTAACCTGTGGTTTCCTATGGTCTTGTATGGTCTTTAGCCCCCCTTCTCGCCTTGCCGCATGGTTACATGGTCCTCTTCTCCCCTCCTCCCTCCTCCACACCCCTCCCTTTCTCCGCCCTCCCTCCCCCTCCCCCCCCCTCACCCGCCACCGCCGCCGCCGCCCGCTCCACATACGTCCGCAGCAGCGCCGTGCCCCTCCCCAGCACCACTCCGCCCGCAGACCCCTTGCGGTCCTTCTTCTTGTCGCCGCCCGCCCCCTTGCCGCCCTTGCCCCCCGCTGCTGCTGCTGTAGGCCCCGCCTCGCCACCCGCACCCGCACCGTTAGCTGCCTCCCCAGCTGGCTGCTGGGGCTGCGGGGGCGGGGGCGGTCCCTCCAGGGCCCGCAGGCAGGTGACCGCCGCCAGGGCCTCCAGGGAGAGAGCGCGGGCAGCTGCACGCAGGGCAGCGGAGGCGGCAAGAGAGGCCTGCACGCCTGCGGGGTGGTGAGGTAGGTGGGGCAGGATGGGTGGGGAGGTGGAATGGGGCAGGATGGGTGGGGTGGGTAGAGATTTTAATGGGGGGGGTCAGCCATGCTGACGAGGGTTAGGAAAGGGAGGTTGATGGTAGGTGAATACGCGGGTGTGAACCCCATCCAGCTGCCCTGACCCAGATGCTCCCCGCTCTCCCTCCTCCTCCCCCGCTCCTCCTCCCCTCCACCTTCCTATCCCCATTGCTTTGCCCTAACCTGTGGTTTCCTATGGTATGGTATGGTCTTTGACCCCCTCCACCTACCCGGCATGGCATCCACATCCTCCATCATCACCCGCCCCACCGCCGCCATCTGCGCCTGCGCCGCCGCAATGCCGCCCTCCACCGTCCCGCTCAGCTGCTCCTCCAGCCCGCCCGCACCCGCCCCGCAGCCGCCACTGCCGCCCACGCCCCGCACCACCGCACGGCACCGCGCCGCGCTGTCCCGCGCCGTCGCCAGCAGCGCCCGGGACAGGTCCAGCATGCAGGTGGGTAGCAGGGGGGAGGGGGCGGCGAGGGGGGCGGTGCCGCGGGGGGGCAGCGCGCCGCTCTGCACCTCACTGCGCACGCAGGTGTAGGCGGCGGAGAGGGCCTCTGACAGGGCGCCCAGGCGCTGGGGGGGGCGGGGGTAGGAGTAGCGGTGGGAGATGTTGAGTTGAGGGGGCATGGCAGGGATTTTAAAGGAGCAAGGGCGTGACCCAAATCAACCCGGGATTAGCCCCATTAGCCGCGTATATGCACGATGTACGGAACAGGGAAAGCAAGCTGACTGTTTACCGCGTGCACGTGCCCCTTGCTGCTCGCTTCCCAGTCCCCCCTCCCCCCTACACATTGGGAATTCTCCACACCCCCTACCTGCGGTGCGGCAGTGAAGGGCGCCAGCTCCCCGGGCGCCGCCCCCTTGTCCTTCAGCGTGTCCACCCGTTTGGAGCCCTCCAGCAGCCCGCGCAGCTCGTCCGCAGCAGCCACCGCGCCCTTGTAGCCCTGAGCCTCCACCACGTCGGCCTCAAAGGACTTGGTCTGACAGGGGCGGGACAGGGACAGGGCGGGGAGGGGGCGAGGAAGGGAGGGGGTCGAGTGTGGGGGGGCTTTGTGTGCGGCGCATGAGGCAAAGCCTGGCCGACCCAAATCAGCAGGCCAGCACCCAACGTAGCAGCCAGTTTGACATGACATGACACTCCCAACCTGCCCCTGCCTCAGCTACCGGTATCCCCAACACACACGGGCACACCCACACACACGTGTGACTCTCCCTCCCCCACCCTGGTTTCCCACGGGTATTTTATTTGGCCCCACCTGCACGCCCAGCGCCTCGCACGACAGCGCCGCCACCGCCGTGGCCAGCGACTGCAGCTGCTTGCCGCCCTGCACCGCCAGCGCACCCACACCCGCGGAGGCGCAGCAGCCGCTGCCCAGCACCACCCGCTCCGCGCCGCTCAGCCCGGGCGGGGTGAGCCCCGCCTGGCTGAGCGCCTCGGACAGCGCGGGACCGGTGAAGGGGCCCGCGGGCGGGTGGCGCGACGAGCCGCTGTGGCAGCTGCTGTTGCCGTCAGCAGGGGCTGAGGATGGCTCCGACCCAGATGGCGGGAGGGGAGTAACGGTGGCGCCAGCGCCGTGGCAGACGTCCGCGAGGCGGGAGAGCACCTCGGGGTCTGCGGAGGCTGCGGGCAGCGCGGGGAGGATGTTCTTGTTGAGCATCTCCACGAGGTAGTCGGCGACCTGCACGCGCGTGCCGCTGCGGCCATTCATGACGGTGAGCAGGCGGGTGGCGAGGACGGCGCGGGTTTGCTGCACGTCCAGTAGCTGTTGGGGCGGAGTGGCGGCATCGGGTGATGGCACGAATGTCTCTGGTTGGAAGGACTTGGGCGCAGGGGACTCTTTTTTGACGCGCTCTGCACCAGCGGCATCCAGCGCGACAACAAGGCCTCCCTGTGCAATTTTGACGACGTCGTCAAGGCTTGGCTGCGCGCCGATGCCGCCGATCGTAAACGCCTTCGCCGCCATGGCAGTACTCGTGTGTAGACCTAAAACTTTCACCCCTGTTATTTGTTGGTCTAATATATATCGATCGAAAACAGGAAGTCCAGTAAGCGAAACCGGCGCTTGCGGGCAGTCGCGGGGACGCACAGTACGCGATAAAGGAAACAGTGGGCAGATGATTGGCAGTAGTACCCGCTGTCTACTGCTACCAACAAACTTTATGATTGCCTGCATGGGGTTGGCGGGAATTTTACCAGACGAGGCCATGCTCCATAAAGTGTTCCATTGGGCATCGTTGTACATCATTCCGAAACGCGTAACTCTAGTCTTCGTCGAAACAAGATGCAAGCTCCAGCCGTAACTACACCAATTAAGCCTAAGACCAGGGGCTGGCTGGTCAGAACCCTCCCAATCCTAGTTCTAGTCTTGTTGCTGCTGCCAGTCCCTGATCTAGGGGCTGGGACTGGGCAAGCGATCCTTGGACTTCAATTATTTCATAGCGCGATGAGGTGCTTAAGGCCGCAACAGTTGCAGGCCAGGCAGCGCCCATCTGTTGCTAGGCCACCGATTCCCACGGTAACGCAGCACCAGCCAGCTGTACCACCTTCCTGTCAAGTGGACACGTGCAGCGCCAGTGGCCCTGGGTTTGCCGGGCAGAGCTTGGCCTCTACATGGGGCTCCAAACCTTCTCTGGCTCCGCCAAGTGCGGCTAGTTCAGAAACCACGGTGCGAACAGCAAGCGCTGACAAGCGTTGGTGGAACCAAGACAAAGATTTATGGGTCGAGGTGCATACGGAGGAGGAATTCCGTCGCGAGGTGAGTAAGGCCTAAGGGCCTCAGCCTTCCTCTGCAGCCTATTGAGGCCAGCTTGATGCTGTGCACGAGCTTTCGAATCAGGACGCTCCCACGGGGTGCACGCACGCGAGTTTGTGCACCTGTGGATGGATGCATCTTCTGACAGCTCGCTGGACACGCAGGTTAGCACCGGCGACAAGCTGGTAGCCGTTGACTTCTTTGCGACCTGGTGGGTTGAGATTATGAACTTTCATTGGAAAGGATGCGTCGCAGCTTCTTGTAGGGTTTGGGGTTCAGACGTGTTTAGACGTCAAACCTACGTATTGTCAGCCGGGTTTTCACGAACAGCGCGCTGTGTAGGCAATATCTCCGACCGTTGCTAAGAAGCCAGCGTGCAGGACTTACAGGTCCTGCAGCAACCCGCTGGACGAAGGAATGCACAACATGTTAGCCCTTCCTTCTTCACTGCACCCGTGCCCCTAAGCGTGCACACCTGCCCTGCTTGTACGACACAGGTGCCATGGCTGCGAGAAGTCGTATCCGGAGATCTGCCGAGTGATTCGAGATCCAGAGCTGAGGAAGCAAGTTAAATTTGTCAAGGCAAGTTTGGGCCGCTGAGCTGGGTATCTACTTTGGGCAGGGGGCATCCGTCCGGTGCTGCCGTGACGGCCTCTTTAATCCCGAGCATGGCAGCAGTCATCGGCAGCGCTAGGCACATGACAGCTAGCGTGCACGTCCCCCTACTACCCAACATCAGAAGGCGTTGAGGCGCGCTTCACCCTAATCATGTTCCTCACCGCGACCCAAATGGCGTCCAGTGCCGACCCACATGGGCATGTAGTTATATAGCCATATGGGCCCGCCTCATACCCTGCCACACACGCACCAACCCAATGTGCCCCCCCCAGGTGTGTGTGGACGAGTTGAAGAACCTGGCCAAGGCCGAGGGCGTCACCGCACTGCCCCGCATGCTGGTGTACCGGCCGGGGCACGCGGGGCCGCTGGTGGGGCTGGACGTGCCGTACTCCAAGGTGGGTCGTGGGACTGGGCACCGGTGTTCGTCCGGGAGCGACCCACGGGTCACAAGGTTGAACGCAGGCAAACTAGTTGAAGACCTCCGGTTGAGGATTAGGAGGACTGGGGGGCGGGGCTTGGAGCTGACGTTAAGAGATGTGGGAGGGCAAGACATGCAACATGTACCTACCCAGTGCTCACTCGTTGTTGACCGTCCCGGCCTTTGTACCGGTCTGCCATCGTCCCAGCGTCTCTCGGTTACCTACCTGCGCCGCGCCCCTCCCTCGCCACTTGCCCCTCCCGCCAGGTCCGCTACCTGCGCACCAACCTCAACGTCATCCTGAACAACCCCGGCATGGCCTTCGGGGCCGACCCCAACGGGTGGGTGGGCTGCCAGCTGCAGTGCTGGAGTGCTGCAGCTGCTCTACCGCAGGATCGTGCCTCTTGCAAACCGCTCTGCAGCACTACCAGTACTCCCGCGACGCATTCCATCCCGACCCACATCGCGTTTCACTCGCCTGAACCGTGAACCGTGCTCCTTACCGTCTTCCTTCCTCTTATTGATGCCTGGTGCCACACACTCCGCCTACACGTGTGTGTCTGTATCTCCCCCCCTTGCAGGTTCGTGACTCCCACCGGCAAGCTGCCGCCCCCTGACGAGGCCGCCCGCGCCGCCGCCGCCAAGGCCCTGGAGGCGGAGCAGCTCCAGTCGGGGCACTCGGGGCTGTTCGAGCACCTCATGAAGGTCGCAAACAACAACAACAACAACAACGGTAACAGCAACGGGCACAACGACAAAGCTGCGCCCTCAGCAGCAGCCAGCATCAGCACCTCCTCCTCACAGCAGCACCAGCAGCCAGCCGCAGCTGCCGCTGCCGCGGCAGCCGCCGCGGTCAAGTCGGTCGGCGCCGGCATCGGCGGGTTGTTCTCCCCGCACCCGCACCCGCACCCCCCTGTCTGCAAAGCGCCTCCGGGCGCGGATGCGGCGGCGTACGAGGTGGCTCGGCAGCGCTTCCTGGAGGAGCACGGGGAGGAGTACGGGTACGGGGGCATCATTGACAGCCTCTATCCATCAGAGGTAGGGTGCACAGGGGGAGGCGGAGAGGAGGGGGTTGGAGAGGACTTGTGGGTTGGAGAGGGGTTGGTGCTGGGGTGTGGTTGGGGAGAACGGCGCATTGTTGGGGTACGTCTGGCGTGCATCTTCCACTAACCCCCCCTCCCCTCCCCCCCAGGTTGGCGTCCGCATGGCCCCCAACGAGCACTACCTGGACTACACCGGCTCCTCCGTCTACTGCCAGTCGCAGCTGGACGCGGTGTTCGCGGAGCTGCGGCAGTGCATGTTCGGCAACCCGCACTCCGCCAACCCCTCCTCCTCCTTCACCAGCGAGCGCGTGGAGGAGGTGCGCGACATGGTGCTGCGCCACTTCAACGCCTCGCCCGCGGAGTACCAGGTGGTGTTCACCAAGTCGGCGACGGACGGGCTGAAGCTGGTGGGGGAGACGTTCCCATGGACGGAGGGCAGCATGTTCAGGTGGGGGTGCGGCGGGGGGCCCCGCGGGGGATTAGATAAACTGAGCCGCGGAAACACTAACCGCGGGGGATGGTGGGGGGACGGGACGCCCTTGGTTAAGGACTGGGCGCTGGGGGTCCTCGGTCAGCAGGCGAATCGGCGGTCCTCGGTGAGGACATGGGGGTACGACAGCGCTGCAAGGCTGCGGAGCTTCTCGCCTTCTTGCTGGTGCTGCTCCTGGTCTTGCTGTTCGCTCCATGCTGCTGATTGGCCGTCGTGTCGCCCTCTCATTTGCTATTCCCCCCCTTCCCCTTCCCCTTTGGTATGGTCTTTCCCCGCAGGTACCTGCGCGAGAACCACAACAGCGTGCTGGGCATCCGCGAGTACGCGCTGCAGGGCGGCGGGGCGTTCCAGGCGGTCAACGAGAGCTTCGTGGAGCGGTGGGCCCTGCAGGGGGACCCGGCGGGCGACCACTCGCCGCCCAACACGCGCTTCCCCGCGCCCACCTACAGCCTCTTTGCATTCCCGGCAGAGGACAACTTTGCAGGTGCGAGGTAGTGGGTGGGGGGGTTCGGGGGACTTGTAGGACCTGCTGCTTTTGCTTGCGGGTTTGGTTTTGAAGCCACATACCAAGGGTTGCTTGCCAGCCCTCCGGGGCCCCCCCCAAACCCGCTGCACCAGCCGCCTTCCTCGAGCACCCCGCTCAATCACTTTACCTCCTTCCCACCCACCTACCGAACCCTCCCTCCCACCACAACTCTCCCACCCACCTACCGAACCCTCCCTCCCACCACAACTCTCCCACCCACCTACCGAACCCTCCCTCCCACCACAACTCTTCCATCCACCTATGGGGTTGGGACTCCGTTGCTTCACTACTTCTCATTTTCCTTACCCACCTACAAACCCCGCCTCCCTCCCTCCCCTCCCTCCAGGTGTCAAGTACCCCCTCGAGTGGGTCCGCGGCGTGCAGTCGCGCTCCTCCGACAGTCACCGCTGGCTGGTGATGGTGGACGCGGCGGCCTTCGTGCCCACCCAGCCGCTGGACCTGTCGCAGGTGCCCGTGGACTTTGTGGACCTCTCCTTCTACAAGTGAGGGTTGGAGGGGAGGAGGGAGGGGGGAGGGGGTTTAGCTTGCCTTTTGAACCCATTTGTGGTCCCCATCACTGTTTACGCTGCGTCTGACGCTGCCTCCAATACTTCGCCGCTCAAATTATCTCATGATCCTCATTCCCCCACCCCTCCCACCTCCCACCTCCCCAGGATGTTCGGCTACCCCACGGGGGTGGGCGCCCTCATCGTGAAGACCAGCCTGGTGTCGCTGCTGCGCAAGGTGGGGGGAGGGGAGGGTGGAGGGGGGCCAAGGGAGGGGAGGGAGGGAGGGGGAGGGGAGACGTGAGCTGCCGGGATAAGCGTCCCCGGCCCTGCTGCCTTGGGTTGTAAGTCGTCAACCGTCGAGTGCTTCATGAGGGGGACGTAAACCTCTACATCGACGTCATACTGTTGCCCCCCACCCGACCCTATCCCCCCACCCGAACCCCACCCACCTGCCCACCTGCTGCAGGTGTTTTGGGGCGGCGGCACGGTGGCTCTGGCGACCTCGGAGGACAACTTCCACGTCCTCAAGTGCCGACCCAGCGACAGGCTGGAGGACGGAACGGTGGGCGGGGTTGGAGGGAGGAGGGGTGTGTGTGAGGCTCTTATTAAAGCTGTCAAGGCCGGGAAGGATGCAAGTGAAGGGGCATGTGGGGGCTGGGACGTCGGCTGTCGTACGCTTGCTAACCCTGGGGGACATGAGGGGCATCGTCTCGGTTTCCTTGGAGGCCGCACTCCTCGACCTCCTGACCCTCCGCCTCCCTCCACTCTCCCTCCTAACCACCCGCCTCCCTTTGGAACTCCCTTTCATTCATTTCCCCCTTCCCGCCCTCCCTCCCCCCCGCCCCCCCCCCAGGTCGCCTTCCTGGATGTGATCGCGGTGAAGCACGGCCTGCGCGCCCTGGAGCGGCTGGGCGGCATCCGGCGGGTGCAGGCGCACGTGACCGCCCTCACCGAGTGGCTGTACGGCCGACTGGCGGGGCTGCGGCACTCCAACGGACAGCCCATGCTGGCCATATTCGGGAAGCACCACCTGCCCAACCACCGACAGGTGCGGGGAGGAGGGGTAACATTGGGGAAAATGGGTAGTTAGGGTATAACTACCGGGAGAGACGCACGCCGGGCTTACCAGCGGCGGTCCACCAACGTGGAACTTCGCTTCTCACAGTGCCGTTTCCTCGTTTCCGCTCACAATGTGATTCTCCCTTTAATTCCTCTTTCCTCGCGGCGCTGTCTTCCAGGTCCAGGGCGGCATTGTCAACTTCGAGCTGCTCAAGCCCGACGGATCCATCTTTTCGTACAAGACGTTTGAAAAGGAGGCGGCGGCTGCAGGCTTTCATGTAGGTTGGGGGGGGGCTGAGGGGGTAAAGAGGAAACGGCTAGGCTGGGTGGGGGCAGGGGTCCATGCGGGTGGGTGGGTGGGGGGCTGTTGAGGCACACAGCCGAGACGGGCAAGGTGCAGCGTGTCGAGGAAGACCCGGAGGAACTCTGTCGGGGGACTCTGTGCTGTGCAAAGTGCCAGAGCTCCCTGTCTCTCTTCTCCTGTGCCAGCGAGAGCTGTTCTGGGCTGGCAGGCCTAAACTCCATATAAGTCGCAGAGGGGTCATGCAACCTTACCTGACTCGTACCCGCCTCTTCTCATCCTTACCCTCTCCTCTCTCTCTACGCCCCCTCCTCCCCTTCCCTCCCTCCCCTCCCCCAGGTGCGCACGGGCGCGGAGTGCAACCCCGGCGCCTGCTACAACTACCTGGGAGTGCAGGAGAGCGAGGTGGAGTCGTTGGCGGGGCACAAGGAGGGATGCGAGGACGATGTGGAGTTCATTCGGGTGCAGCGGCCGGTGGCGGAGGAGGCGCAGGTGGGGGGGGAGGGGGAAGGGGCAGGCGAGAGACGGGGCTGGGGAGGGGTTTTGAGAGTGGCGGCAAGGAGGGAGTGGCGGCACGTTGGGGGCCAGAGATCCTGTCCCCTGGTATGCCACTGCGGCTGCTGCTCCTGCTGCTGCGACCTGCTGAATTTCGGCAAGACAGTTTGGCAAGGGCTCCTTTCGCTCTGTACGGCTTATACCGTTTTCAATCCTGCGCCGTATGGAGTTATAACCTGACAGCCTCTCCTCTCCCCTATGCCACCCCTCCATCCCCTCGGCCCCGCAGGACGCCATCAGCTCCGCCGACCTGCTCCGCTCCATCGCCAACTCCAACCTCTCGCTGGCGCACCCCGCCGCGGTGGCCCTCAAGTGGATGGAGGTGCCGCTGGGGTCGGTGCGCGTGTCGCTGGGCTGGTGGAGCACGTTTGACGACGTGTTCGCGTTCGCAGACTGGGTGGAGCGGAGCTACCGGGACAGGTCGGCGTGAGCGGGCGGGTGGCACCGCTAGGGTTGATGAGGTGCTGTTCACGAGCCTTATGTGAAAGGGAGGTGAATTGTACGGTGACCCATCCCGGGGGGGGATGGCATTGAAGGGGTTGCTAGGAACGGGCTGTGAGAGTTGATGGGAAGGGGAGGAGAGGAGGGAGAGCACAGGGAGAGGGGTTTGGAGGACTGCTGAGTAGATAGGGGATGGTTTAGTGTAGCTGTGTTCATGTTATCATGTAGCGGTTGCGAGGCGGATGCAATGACGTGCGGTGCACAGATGAGGGTGAGTGTGAGGTGAAGTGAGATGCAAAGACTTCAGGAGAAGAAGAATCAAATTTATGCCGATCATACCATCAATCGTTGCAAGAAACATTTGCGTGTGCGAATGGAAGCTTGGTGCTTTGTATACGAAAGCTATGGCGGGCACTCGAGGCACGGATGATTTCCGGCGGTAGCGGCGCCTAACGCACCGCATGCCAGGGGGCAACCAAATGGCAAGAATGACGCCGTGGTGAGGGACATACAAGCAACAGAGGAAGCGCATTGTACTACGAGGCGTATGCGGATGAAGAGTGACGGGAGGCGGTCGAATGCAGCGAGGATGTCGTCAGAGGATGTATACGCATGGCATGGGGTCCCCTTGGCCCCCGTGGAATCGGCGCTGATTTGAATTTCTTGAATTATTGGTGGTTTAAAGCAAGGGAGGAGGGGTGCAACAGCGGTTGTAGATTACGGCGCGGTGTGTAGATGCTAGGTGTTTGGGTATTTGGGAGTTCGCGTGATGACGGTTTGCCGGGCCCGTGTGCGATTATTTTTGGGGGTGATGCTCAAGTGTATGGCTGGGAGAGCGGTGCAGTTTGGGGACTCTTGGGTCGCCGCGTTCTGTCCCACTGCTGTCTGTTACGGTAGCTGTGGCCTGTTGAGGAGGTTTGGTGCTGTAATGCGTTTACCAATGCTTTGTTGTGTGGCCGCCGTTTAGTTTAGCAGACGAGGAGAGTTGCCCGTAGTTCACGACATGCTGGCGGTCTGTGATGTCAAGTCAATAAAGTGTCTAAATGTGGCATTGAAGAAACACGCCTGTGTTGAGTGCCCCTGGAATTTACCGTTCTTTTAGCAGATTGTTTGTTTGTCAGCCCTACCGGTATCGTGTGACTGCCTGCCTTCCGCTCGCATGTATAGCTGTGTTGTTTCACTTGTTTGCGTATCAGTCGTGGTGTGGCGCTTTGGATTCCAGCGGTGGCTGGACGCTTTGTTTGTGTATTTCGAAGGAGCAGGTTAGGGTTTAGGGCTGCATGTATGTACGGCAATCCGCAACGGCGCCTGAAAACGGGCGTTCATACGCAATTCGTTGTTCTGCGGCTGGGGCGCGCGTGATGTGCTAGCAAGGCGTGGTGCGAGAGGATACCGAATTGCGCAGCAGTAGGCGACAAGGCGAGGGAGGCAATTGGGCGAGGGGGAAATAGCAAGTAGATCATACACCATCATCTCGGCTCGTGTTCAGTCCTAACGTATTACCCCCATGGGTTGGGGGCGCGATTCCGTCAGTAATGACCAGTGCACATTATGGTTTCGTTTCTGTTCGTGTAATTAATCCTCGTTGCTCCCGCACCACCACCCACACACACCTACGCTGTCTATACGCTGCTCGTAACACAGCCAAGAGACCGCTATCCTGCACGCGCTAGGGCCAAACCGTTCTGTTCCATACTGGCAGTCCTGACGCGCGAGCGCTCTGGCCGCTGCTCCGTATACGCCGGGAGACACGGTTCTTTGTAACCTCCCACCCGGAGAAGTACCCACATGCTCCTTTGCCGCTGAACGTTATGTTCCTATCTGCCCCTCTCACGCCTGCCCGCACGCAACCCTAGCGCCCGGGCGCCGCAGCCAGCACTCGATGCATTCCCGCACACTTGGGTCACACTGCGCCCCAAGGCTCCTCTGCTCCCCATGCAAGATGCTATCAAGACACACACGGTCAAGAGCTTCCCCCGCTACGTCTGATGTCTGGTCTTGTGACGTAACAGCGCCGGCCTCCCTTCATCATCTCATCAGCATCAGCGCAGCCCCCAGGTCGCATGTGGTGTCCCAGGACGTGTGCCAAGTCCTCCGTCCCAAGCCGGTTGCGGTGGTCTGGCGCGCTCCGCGCGCCTCACTCACACCTTGGCCTTGATTACCCCGGATTCCACCATGAACGGCACCTCGGCCGCCAGCCAGGGCGCCAGACCCAGACACAGCGCGTGCGCGATGCCGAAGTGCGGGCTGCGGATCCGGGAGTGAGGTCGCACGGTGATGTCAAAACGGGACATGATGTGAGATGTACGCAATTGCGGAAGCATCGGGCAGATGCGGAATTTTTTATCACGGGTTTGAGTGCTTTTTAAGGCATCTCCCCTGGCTTTGATTCAAAACCCCAGTAGGCGCCTGCGCTGCAGTAGAGGCGCTCACCTGTTTTTGGACCACAGGGGCTTGAAGTGGATGGTCAAGCAGATTTTACCCCCGCGGTACATCTTCGCTGTCTTGCCTTCCAGCTCCGGGAGTTCGATCTCCGGTGCTGTGTCCGGGTATGTCGCCGGAATGTCGAACTGGAAGTCGAACTCATATTTGATGAGCTCATGCACATACCAGCATTGGCCGGTCCAGTGTGTGCCGTCGGCGTTCGGCTGTATGCTGAACCAGTCTGTGTCTGATTCCTTGTTCATTTTGATGTAGGTGATCAGCGCATGCAGCTCCTGCAAGACACGATGCTAAGCAGCCGAGAGGCGTCCAAAGCCAAGCCTTGCGCAGCTGTATAAATGGAAGCCCACCTGTTTTAAGCGATCTTGCCATTTCTGCTTATCCCGTGGCCCAGACTTCTCTGTCAGAAAGGGGATTTTCTTTACAGTCTCTCTTGTCTTGGGATCCCAACTTTCCGCCATTGCAGCAAGCTAACTGTGAAAGCAGTATGCAGCAAACCTTTCTGGCCTACTGTTCCGAATAAGGACGGGCGTTATTAATGCGAAGTAATGCGAACAGGCAGAAGCCACCGAGGGCACAAAATAAAGCTTTTCGTATGCCGAACAAGCCCAACTTGCGTAAAACCGGGTAACCCTCTGTTGCAGAATACGCGCTAACGGATAGGTCGGTTGGGCCGTTTGCCTTAACGCCCGGGCGCTGCGCATCACGGCAGGCAAGCTCGGCTTTCAATTTAAGGGGACTTTGCGAACGCCTGCTCCGTTCTTGTGTCCTTCTATTAACTGTATGGTCCATGAGCAGCATTCTCATTCGTGAGGCTTGGGCTCGCGATACAGTTGCTGTCTTGACACCAAGTAGCAATCAAATACCAATGCATTTGTACAATGCAGGAATCAGACAGACCGTTCTGATTATCATGTAGGAGAATGGCTATTCCGCGGCGACATTACTCCCCTTGCGAGCCTATACTCTTGCCTGGCTGGAACAGTCGCAAGGCAGCCTGGCTACGGACACGCATATCTTTGAAAAATCATGTAGCCTATTTCTCCTTACATCGCTGACGCACGCCGCTTACGTACGCCAAGAATGCAGGCAAGGACACAAACTGGTTCGACCCAAGTGCGACCCATGGGCCCGCAAGGACGAAGCCAGCTTTCTGGGTTACTTTTGCCTTTCTTCTCCGCTGAATTAACCTGCCGGTAATGAGCATATTTGTCATCATGTCGCAAACAAAATCGCGCCACATTGTCCAGCCCGGATATGGGCAGTTTCGTAGCTGAAAGGACTTTGGAACGAACATTGGACGCGTATATCCACGTAGACACAGCGCCCGACTAGGCCCATCTTTGCAACCTAACAAAGCCTACTCGTAGGCTGTAAAAAGCTAGGTGAAGAGCGTTGTGCTACACCTTTCATCGTAGCCTGTCTATCACGCGACTGTCTGTCACCCTCCGGCCCTCTCCGCTCTCTCCCGGCAGTTGTCAGTCAGAGCAGCCATCACCCAGCCGCGCAGCAGCAGCGGCATCGCGGCATCGCACTCCACCAGCCGCCCTGCCGCCCAGCTCCTAGCGGCACACTTAGCGGCTCCTTGCATCGGTTTGTTGCTGTTTGTTTCGTTTCTCTCCTTGCAGACGACCAAACATTTTTTGTACAACAACCCTGACAAGCAAACCGCCTTGTCCAGAAGTTGTAATAACGCAGATCTAGAGCGCCTTCTCCAGCTTTTCTTCCATAATCTGCGGTGGAAGTCAGCAAAGCACTCAGATGCTGACAACGTAGCCTTCAGCCGTCGTCCTGGCAACCTAGGACTTCACAGCAGGGCGCATACCAACCACTCTGTGTGGAGGAGGGCGCAGCAGCTGCCTGCCTGTTTCCCCTTTTCAGCGCCCCGACTGGCCCCGAGGCCGGCAGGGCAATGGGGCCACGGTCCCCACCTGCCGCTAGTAGTCGCCATCCTAAGCGCTTGCACTACTCGCAAGCTGCCTTTAGGGCTTTTCGAATAGCAATAATGAGGCAGGGTTTCTCCGTACAGCTTTTATCATGCATGATGTTGCCTCTGCTATGTGCGGCGCTGTTGCCAGCAGCGGCGGCGGTGGCGGCGGGCGGCTCTGAAACTGCCCACTTGCGAGCATTGTTACAGGTAAGTGTGTAAGTTAGCAACGGGCACTTGTAGCTAATTAATAAGCAGGTGTTCCGCATGGTTTGATAAAGTTCGACTGCCGGATTGCTGCATAGCTGCCTGCGCACTAGCTGTCACTGCGGACGCTGTGTTGCTGTACTGTTCTTGGTCTATCGGGGAACCCGGCCTCAGCTCGCCTCACCCTGTGCTGCATGAACCCGCCGTCCCCTTATTCCCCGCCCGCCTCCCTAGCTTTCCTCCTCCCTACATTCCGAAGACTGATATCCCCCTCCTCCCTACATTCCAAAGACCCAACATTTCCGCACCCTCAAACCCTCCTATCCCCCAGATGCACATCAACCTGACGGCGCAGGAGCCGCCCAGCACAGCCCCCACCGCCCCCGACAATTCCCCCCTCCTTGGGAGCCCCAGTGCGGCCCCCGTCGACTCCCCCGACACCCCGGACACCCCCGCCGGCACCACCGCCTTCGCCGCCCCGCCGGGCTCAGTGGACGTGCCGCTCAGCATCAGCAGCGACCCACGGGTCACTCCACCCAGCACCAACAGCACCAGCAGCAGCCCCGGCACTATCGGCACCCCAGCGCCCCCCAACCCCACCCTCACCCCCGCCCTCCCCCCGCCCCCGCCCCCACCCGAGGGGGGCGACGACAGCGGCCCCCTAAGCCAGCCGCAGCTCGCAACGGGCAGCGGGGGGCCATCACCACAAGACCAGAAGGCGCGGGAGACGTCCGCCGCCACCAATGACACCGCCACTGACCTCACCACCGCCGCCGCTGTACAACCGCCCAACGGAACGGAAGCCACCGCCGCCGGCGGGACGAGCGGCGCCGGCGACGACGCCGCAATTGCCGTACCTACCGTTACCGCCATGGGCGGTACGGATACGACGGATACGGGCTCGTCATCCGCCGTCACCTCCCCCTCCGCCACCTCCCCGCCAACCACCGGCGATGTCGCTCCTTCGAGCCTCCTCGCCCCCTCCGTCGAGCCCTCCCTTGCACCCCCCGCCGTTGTCTCCCCCCCGGGTCCCCTCAACGACTCCGTCGCCGCCCCCATCCCCGGTCCCACCATCGCTGCAGTGACACCACCCGGCAACGACACCCCCGCCTCCCCCTCCCTCGCCGTACCCGTTGCACCTCCCGCCGTCTTCCCTGACCTAACCACCAACGACTCCACCACCACCACCATCCCCACCACCACCATCCCCGGCGCCACCACCCCGCCCTTCCTCGGCCCTGAGGCCACTTCCACCCCCGTCAACGTCACTGCCGCCGCCGGCCCCTCCGAGGCCACCTCCGCATCCGCCCCCGCGGACAGTAGCACCGAGAGTGGCGCCCCTGGCAGCAGCAGCCGCGACAGCAGCAGCAGCGGCGGCAGTGGCCGGGGCAGTGTGGTGCTGGGTGTGTCGGGGTGGCACTGCGACTGGCGGCGGGGGCACCTGGACTGCGAGGAGGGCTTCAGCTGCATTCCCTCGCCGTCGGAGGCAGATGCACCGGGTAGGGTGGCGGGGTAGAGGGTGGTGGTGGGGTGGTGGGGCTGGGGGGTAGCTCGCTGGGCGGGCGATACGGTAGTCCAGCCTATCATAGCACCAACAACCCCCTCCACCTCCACCTCCCCTACGGTAAGGTTTCTCCATAATTGGTAAGTTCGGTAAGTTTAGCTCACATTGCTTTCACCACCATTTCGGCTCGACTTACGGTTGATTCCACCAGGGCTTGTCGGCCATTTGTACCATTATCACACCACACATTGGAATTTCTCTCCCCCCCGCCCCAGGCACCTGCGTGTCTAACCCGGTGGGCGGCAACCCGCTCCCCCCCGACCTGGGCGCCCCCGTGGTGTTCTACCCGCTCACAAACGGCTCGCTGGAGGCCTGGCCGCCCGGCTCGGGGCCCGCGTACGGCGGGCTGGTGGCGGCGGGGGAGCCGTACTTTACCGCCGCGGCGGAGAGCGCGGAGGAGGCGGCGGACCTGTTCCCAGGGGCCCTCACCTGCGACAAGGGTGGGGCGGGGGCGGGGAAGGAGGGAGGAGGGAGGGGGGGAAGCCAGCTATTGGTGCGGTAGCGGGGGTCTCCTGGATCGTACCCTGCATGGGTTATCCCCTTCCTCTTCCCTAGTCCTCTCCCCACTCTTCCCACCGCATTTCCCGCTCCCTTCCCTACCGCTCCCCTCCCCCGCTCCCCCTTCCCCTCCCCTCCCTGCAGCCTCCAACTCGCTGGTCGCCTTCCCCGGCCTGCCGTACGGTCGCACCGGCGCCTTCACCCTCAATCTCTGGATTCGCAAGCCGCTAAAACCACCACCCACACAACCCCAACAACCGGGCGACAAGAGCAGTCCGGAGGACTACACCGGCACTGCTGGTGACGTCATCGACGGCCCCTTCGAGTACGTGCTCAGTCATGCCAATGTGCAGCCGCTCAGTCCCGCTGCTCGCCGTACCGCGCCCTTCGCGCGCAACCAGGTGACGCTGTACCTACCGACCCGTGGGACACCGCTGTTCGGGCTGGCTCGCGGCATCGTGAAGGATTCCAATGACGGCGATGCGCCGCTGTTCCTGGACAGCGACGGGATCGTGGCGGACAACACGAGGAGGGAGCCGGTGTACAGGTGGGGTGGGGTTGGGGGGGTCGAAGACCATACCGAACCATAGGAAGCCACAGGTTGGGGCAAGACAATGGGGATAGGGGTTTGGGGGGGGGTTGAGGGGGAGTCCGGGGGGTTTGGGGAGTTGGGGGATGTAGTTGGGGGTTGTGGATGGGCAAGGCACAGGGGGGATAGGGGGCGGGGGGCCGACAAGGGCAGGGGCAGGGCGGGTTGGGGAGAGGGGGTTTGCCGCGGTGCTACTACACGGGTGGAAAGGCAGCGGTACGGTTCGTGTGTGGGCCCTCCTACAGCTCCTTGCACGTGCCTCGCACCTGTACATCCTCAAACCTCCTCCTCCACCCTCCTCCTCCTCCACCCTCCTCCACCTCCTCCACTCCCCCTCCCCCCATGCACAGCCCCGTGAACCTGACGGACGGCGACTGGCACATGCTGACCCTGGGCTCCCAGCCGACCGGGGGGCGGGGCTGGAGGCTGTACGTGGACGGACTGCTGGCGGCGGAGGTGCCGGGACCCGACTACCCGGGTGGGTGGGAGGGGGGGGGTAAGGAGGACTAACTGACCGTGTGATAAGGCATCATCATGGTTTGCAACATGTGAGCCAGCCCGACCCGCCCAGCCCGAATTAGTCAAGCCAGTAAGCCATTTACCGTGTCAGGGCCAATGGCTGTCGCTGTCCTAAACGGCACCCTAGACGGCATCCAGACCTGACAACCGGGCTTAACGATAATTGTAGACTCACGGGATCCAGAGCCAACATGGATGGGAATGCGCAAGGTAGCGTCGCCGGCACATCCAGGTAGTCAGCCGCGCCGACGGTCCGTAGGCAGCCAACCATAACGCAACCCAACAAACGAAACAAACCCAAGCAGGCAGGGGGG